TTTTAACAAATAAGACTCCCCGGATTATAAACCGATCCTATGGGGGGTTGTCTCCGGTTTAAGAAGCGCTGAATGAAGAAATCCTTAGTCGATTAGCAATAATTTTGATTGTTATGCGCAGTCATCGCGAACAGAGCGTCCGCCAGGTCGTGCGATTTCGGAACTGGTGCCGCGACCCGACCCGCTACCCGACAACAAGGCGCTTATACACGGTGAGTTTTATTAAACAATTTAACTCTGGTGATCTTATTACAAAGTAGTTATAGTTATTCTCAGCTTTAAGTTAGAATCTATTTTTCGAAAGAAGTCACGCGGAAATACGCAAACTAAATGTAAAGTATGGTATTTGCAAGCAAAATTTCGAAGACTGTGGCACCGCGACTAAGGGACTTCTTAATTAGAAGAACTAGTTAGAAGTATTCTTAAACTATAGACTATCAATAAACTACGTTTTGTATTGCGACAATAATAGAGTGTGCCTTCCTACTTTCTTTACATATTGAAGTGACAAACGAACTAACAGTCAACCAGATAGTATGTGTCTATTGCAGCCCATAGGCACCAGTAACCAACTTTAAGCAAATACTATTGTCACCTTCGTGAATCTAATTTGTAAACAGATGTTACCCTCATGTATTTTTGCCACCAAGGCGTCTTTTGCTATATAGTCTGAAGGATATATATATCCTTGGGTGGCAAAAATACATGAGGGTAACATCTGTCCAAAAGGACTTAGGTACAAACGGAGTCTTACAACCAATTACACCACGTGACTTAGAATACAAACACTTGGACATAGGCACAAATTATTGATTTTCGAGTCCGATTTTGTAGTGATTGCCACCGTGTTACTGACACTGCAGCCTGTCCAACTTATCATATGATGATGGTGGCTAGATTGGTAAGTGTTGAAGTCAAATAAGTACCTTAACAAAAGTCTATTATACAGGGTTATTTTTCACAGTAATAATATTTTATATTTAAGTTCAAATATATAAATTAATGATATACCGTTATTGCAGTTTTTGAAAATAGGTTTAAATAAGGCTTTTATCTGAAATTATCCCAAATTAATTATGATTTTAGGAGCAACAACTACGTATACGAACATTCCTCTGTGTGCGATTTAATTCACAACGTGTTGCCAACCAAGCGAACCTTGCGAATGTGTGCGCGTGTAGTAAAATAGTAGGCGTTAGATATTTATGAATGAATCAATTAAAATAATGAATTACCACGCATTCTCAATTTATAAGATAAAAGAGACAGAATGTTTGAGATTTTTTAATTTATTTTTTCACTATTCCCAAGTCTTGCCTTGAAGACACCCACATTGTAATCGAATGGAAAAGCAATTGCTATTAAATCACTTCACGTCTTTGCCGTACGCATTACGAATTACGCAGCAAACAGTTTGGGTTCGAATATTTGCCATATGTTGACGGCGTAAGAGAATCTATCACCTTAATTCATCCCGTAGGTATCGCAAGAGGCGATTATGGGAAATTCCAGAAAAATCTTATGGCTTCTGATAGGTCTGATAGGCTTGTAGCGGCGCTGTCGTCGCGCCACAATCGAAATACACCGAAGTCTAAATCACGCTATCAACATTCCGAATCAGAAACAGTATATATAGAACATCTCCGAACTATCACACGGAGTGTTGGCCGCTCCCCGGGCAGAACACCTTGCCCGGCGGGAGATCTCCCCTTTTCCTACTTCGGCCACAGGCTTATTAAAGTCCATAACTAAACATAGGCCTCTCCCACAGGAGAGATATTTGTCATAGTTGCCGCGCTTGGCAAGCGGGTTAACAACCGTAGTTATTTTTTAATTATTCGGAAGACACTGTTGCCATCTTCTGATTCGTTTCCCTCTGTCGCCTTTTACGATACCCACGAGAAGATATGGCGTAGTGGATATTCTTACATCGCCACTACATGCACAATCATTTTGTCTAAAGTAAAATAGCCAGAGCTATGACAGGGAGCAGCGTCTAATGCGCGAGAAGCTCATGAGATGTTTGTCGGCAGCGGCGCTGGGCAGCTTCCGGTGGCCGCCGTACGTGGTGTGCGTGTGGGCGCTGTTGCTGGCGCTCACGCACGCGCTACATGCACTGCTCGCGACGCTGGACGCTGTGCTGCCGCCGCTCAGGTGCGCTCTCTTACCGACTATGTTCCAATCCGTGTTCAGTCAAAATCTGTTGCTGAAGTTGGCGACTGCCTGATCTTTTTTCGATCGTGTCGGATAGGCATCCCATCGGACTAAGAGACGTAGAGAATAGACAGTGCACCTGTACCTGCCTACGCAATCGTGCAATATAATCTTGTTCTGCGTAAATGGCTAGTCTTTGTTGGGACTAGCCGCCGTAATCGAAATTCTGTCTGAAGGACATTATTTTTATGTATAGTCATTATGTTGCCTAGTCATGTCGCACCGGGAATCATAGATTATATTCATTTGTTCATTCAATATAATTAATCAAAAGTTCACAGCAGAATTTAGGCTTCCCCCATTGATTGCCTCGTAGAAGAATTTCAGATTGTCTTTTAAATAACGATGTACTTTTAAATCCCGAAGATAAAAACTCTGCTTAATTCGGGGATTTGGACTGTGTTGTATATTTTATAAATAAAAAAACTGGAAACTCTTAGCTGGAGCCTGTAGAATAGTTGTTGTTATGACTGTATCCGTATAACTGATATGTACTTTATTAATTCTAAGCTTCATACGAAATTATCATATAGAGCATGAGTAGGTAAAGTTTGAGAATGCCTGTTTTAACGAGTGGCACTATTAAATCTACTGTATAATTGATGCAAACTTATCAAAACTTACATCAATTTCGCATTGTCTTAGCTGGAGTTGCGGTGCTGAGGGCCACGTATTCGAATCCTATACAGAAGGGGTATTTGTATGGCCCACAAACAAATGTTCGGAGTTTGGATGTTTGTCCTTGTGTAATTTATGTTCGTACACTGCCTCCACGATACAGAAAAAATACTAGTGTGAGGTAATGTTTTAAAAATAAAATAAAAAAGACATCATCATCATCATCTTAAGGGAAAACAAAAACTTCAATGTAAGTAAAATTTGTAGGAACGCGTGCGTGTACTTCCGCACTTGGACCGAGGAGTCATGGAGGAGGGAGGCGGAGCTGAACCGCAAGGTTGTGCCGCTGGCGCTGGGCGGCGCCACGGGGCTGCTGTACGCGCTGCTGTGCGCACTGTATGCACTACACGCGCTCGCACGCTGGGCCACCGAGCCGCTGTGCGAGCTGGAGGACAAGCCCAGCGGTGGGGACATCGCGAGCGTCACTAACTATATAGACGATGTCACCACTAACACCAGCTTCGGTATCAACTTTCAAGCGTTAAGGAAGTGATGGGCTTTTTACCGAGTTTTCAGTCAACTAATTAAATGTTAGTTAAATTTAAGTGACAGCACTCACGAACGTAAATTTTAACGAACTTAAAAAATCTTCGTTCGATTCGTAAGATTTTCTAAATGGTTTTGGTTAATTCTAGCCAGAATAAATTTTATGTTTTACATATCGTTTTTGTTTTCTTTAAATATACATAAAAAACATTAATCTTGAACTGTGTGATCCTAGAGTAAATACGTACTACGTAGAGCGATGTATGCAGCAATTTTAGTGATATAGTTGTAGCACGAATGGGTCTACTCGACCGAATAAGGACCACGTTTTCACAGAATACCTACGTACAATAGCAGCTGAATGCCGCTGTGTTAAGTATGGTGAAGTGTAGAGAACCGGAGACCCTTTTTATTAGAAAAGAGGCTTTCCATCTTAGTACTCACGGGTGACAACGCATCTTCATTTTGATTCGTGAGGATAGATGTAGATATATATAGGCCACCGCAGCCACTTACCATCAGGTGGGACTGTGTGCTCGTTTGTCACTCTATTCTATAAAAACACTACGTCATGGTAATGAAATTATTGTGTTGCCATTATTTCTTAATACATCTGCAAAATAACAGAATATTTGAAAAAAAATTGAAAATTATACAAAGCGTATTACGAAATAATAACATTAAATTTATATACATACGTAGATACATACGGGTGAAGCTAACACACACACGGACACGCACACGCACACGCACACGCACACGCACACGTACACACACAGACACACACACTTAACCGCTGGTGGATTGATGCTTAATATAATTAGTTATTAGTTAAAATAATAATTTGAAGTGGATTTTGATTATTGTTTTATTTTGTTTTTATAGAATAAGGGTGACAAACGAGTACACAGTTCACCTGATGGTAAGTGGATGCTGTGTCCCAAAGACATTAACATTTATCCTCGATTAAGAATCAAAACGCAGATGCGTTGTCACCCGTGAAGACTAAGATGAAATGCTTCATTTCCAGTAAAAGGGTTATCGGATCTCTACAGTCACCATACGAAACACAGCAGTATCAAGCTGCTATTTACGGTAGTATTCTGTGAGAGCGTGGTCCCCCTTCCCGGTCGAGCCGACCCTATCGTGCTACAACCGTAATAATGCTGCAGCGTGGCTCCACCATCCACATAAATATAAAATTGGTGTAATTTTGTGTAATAAACATCTGCGCATGTCAACTTATAGTCAACGTATAGTAATGGTTTTAGGAAATAATTTTGCACGAATTGCTTTAATTATCAGTATAAAGTACTATAATTTACGTGGTAGAATACAATATTTATTTATTGCGCTATCGTATACAAACATGACAATTTATATTACATTTGCGCAAGCGCCCTCCGCCACCTAAACGAAACAGCTGGCGCAGGCATACATTTTCGCCGCGCCGTAGAAAGAGAGGGGGATACTTCCTCTCCTACGCCGTCTGTCTTACGAATCTTCGATCAGGTCACGTGTCCTGACGCGAGTTTAACATTTTTTACCCATTACAAAAAAAAAGTGTACAACGCCGCTAAAGAAGTTTTCACTTCAAAAAGTAACGTATAGAAGAGACTTACCGCCTGGTTCTTATCGTCGGGCGCCCCGAATCCCGGCGGCCGCGGCGACGCTAAGCTCGTGTGCTGGTCCACCGAGCCCTGTGTACATTATACATATTATGTTATGAACCGACTCATTAATTGGCCATTATACATTATGTCCACACATGGAATAAAACTACTTTTACGAATTTTTACTTTTGATTCCTGACGTCTCGGGCACTTTAACAGCATCCATGGTCACGAGGGGAATAACGCATTTGACGCCAGCACCAATAAAATTGTTAATTGAAATTTTAAATTCTGATTTTAAAACGACTTAAAGTCGGACACCACTTATTCGAGCAGCGCGGACAACATTTCCTTGGCCTAAAACCTTCTCAGATATGGGAGGTCTATGACAATCAGTGCGAAGTATATAATATTACTGTTTCATTACTTTTTATAGAACATGGGTAACAAACGAGAACATCTACATCTATCCTAGATTAAGAATCAAAAAGCAGATGCTTTGTCTAAGATGGAACGACTCGTATCTAGTAAAAAGGCAGCTAGTACGTTACTATTCAACACACTAAATGTAAAAAAATGTATATTATTCATATAGTAATTTCACCAGCAAAAGTTTGATATAGAATCCTCCACTTCGTCCCCTTAATTTCGTTAATGTCAATAGAAATATCAGAAAGATAAAATGTCTATTTTAATATGACCTTGTCGCTTATGCCAAATATAAAATGACCAATAAGACACCGCAATTGCCAATCCATCAGCCAAGCGCGAAAATTAAGGCAGGAAATAATCGTATTATTTCGCGGTCTCTTCATTTTTTTTAATAGGATGGGTTGACAAACGAGCACACAGTCTACCCGATGGTAAGCGGTTGCTGTGGCCCTTAGACATCTACATGTATTCTCAAATACGAATCAAAACGCAGATGCGTTGCCACTCGTGAGAATTGAGATGAAATGCCTCGTTTCCAGCAAAAACACTCACCATACGAGACACAGCAGCGTTAAGCCAGGTACTATTTTAAGCCGGAATTCTGTGGGAGCGTGGTCCTTTCCCGGTCGAGCCGACCTATTCGTGCTACAACTATACTACTAATATAACTGCAGCGTGACTACACGACGCCAATGCCGGTAGTTCTAGCGGAAAACTGGACTTTTTTCGGAAATTTGCTGTTGCTATAAGGATATTTAAAAAAAAAGAACGTTGAGTATAACTGACCATTGTGTCGTTGAGCGTCTGTTTCTTGCTCGTCACGGATGAAAGTTTCTTCTCCAGTTCTGCGATGGTGGCGCTTTGTATACTGAGCAGCTCTTTCGTCCTCGCCAATTCAACGCCCGCGTCGTGTTTTAATCTATCAAAACGAGATATTATAAATATAAGTAGCTTGCTATATTTTATACAGTTTAAGGTTTTTCAACTCAAAGTTTACTGCATTTTCAAAAAGTATAGAAATTTTATATATATGTTCAAATATATGAATAATTATATAAGGTTGTTTTTGTCCGGTGACCTACATCATGCCCATACTTATTTAACAGCTATACCTATGTATGTGTAATGCATGTATATGTGTATAATAGATATAGGTGTGGCGGCTGCGTCCACCACGCGGAGTTTCAAATATAATATCACCGTTTACTCGACACGTGTCTTCATTTATTGCAACCTTCATTGTACACCTTAATGGACTTAAGTTAATTAATTAATTAAATACAGTACCCATAAAACCGTACACTGGTGACCCCTGAAGAACCGTTTGTGAATTAGTGTCGGTAAAATATGTATCCGCAACCCGGACCTGCGCCAGTTCCTACAGCGCCTATCGCGCCCGCGCCGGTACCACCGCCCGCCCAGGGCGTGCAGACGTCGACGGAGACCCGCGCAGATGGCGCCGTGGCGCTGGCGAGTATCAGCGTTACGTCTAGAATACCCGACTTCTTGACGGACCAACCGCGACTCTGGTTCGTTCAGTTCGAGGCCGTAATAGAAAACCAGAAAATCGGGGATGCGGCCAAGCAAAATCTGGTCGTAATTAAATTAAGCAAGAGCGCTATACAACAGGTAAGTGATCTACTGCTGTCGCCGCCATCCGAAAGGAGGTATCAGACGTTAAAGGATCGGCTTCTGCAAGTGTTTGAGGAGTCGGAGATCAGACAATTTCAGAAACTACTGGGGGAGATGGAGCTCGGCACTCAAAAGCCATCGCAGCTCTTACGTAGGATGCGAGACCTCGCGAGGAATAAAATACCAGACGCTACACTCCAGATAATGTGGACCAGACATTTACCCACGGCCGTTCAAGTCGTTCTAGCTGTCACCGAAGCGAAGGACCTGGAAAGCCTGGCGACGGTGGCGGATAAGGTGATGGAAGTGACCAGGCCGCCAAAAATTGCCGAAGTCAGCAGCGTTACATCCAGCAAGCTCGGCGATTTAGAGGACATAGTGAGTAAACTGCAGATCGAAATAGCAGAACTACGTCGGTCAAGGTCCAGTCAACGCAACAATAACTCAGGTAACAGGGGGAGAACGGGGCGATCAGGTTTGCGGCATCGCAGTGCCAGTATGTCCCGTAAGAACCCGAAATGGTTATGCTTTTACCATCATCGTTATGGTTCCAAGGCCGTGAAGTGCGTTGATCCTTGCAATTGGGCTAGGGCGAAGCCATCTACGCCGTCCGCACAGGGAAACTAAGTACGATACAGCCAGGGGCGGAGGCATGTATCGGTTTGCAAAATAACCGCCAATGCGTTTTGGACAAAAGTACCGGACTTAAGTTTTTAATTTTACGAGTGCCAACATATCTGTAATTCCGGTGGTAAAAAGTGTGCGTCATTCCCTACCGCGAGTGATAATTATAAGTTATATGCGGCGAATGGAACGGAAATTAGAACCTATGGTATGCGTACTCTAGTTTTAAATTTAAATTCAAGGAGAGCATTTAGATGGTCTTTTATTACAGCGGACGTTAAACAGCCTATAATCGGTGCCGACTTTCTAAGCCATTATAAACTGTTGGTAGATTTACACGCGCGGAAATTAAGAGATCAAGTTACGCATCTAAATGTTCTCGCTTCGATTGTAGCGTACAGTAGTAACGATGACTCGTCTATTAGAACTATATAGATAGTAAAAATGAATGGCACGATATATTACTTAAGTACCCGGATTTGACTAAACCTGTGTTGTATAAGGAGACTCCTAAACATTCCGTATGTCATTACATAGAGACGACAGGCCCACCCGTCCATGCGAAGGCTAGGCCTTTACCTCCGGACAGGTACAAGCGGGTTAAGGAAGAGTTCAAGCTCCTGTTAGATCTAGAAATATGTAGACCTTCTAAAAGTGCATGGGCAAGCCCTTTACACGTTGTCCTTAAAAAAACGGGGACATTCGTCCGTGTGGTGACTACCGTAGGTTGAATGCAATAACTAAGCCCGACCGCTATCCTATACCAAGGCTGCAAGATTTTAAGTACGTGTTAGCCGGTAATAAAAAGATATTTACCCGATTAGATTTGAAACGGGCGTATCATTTCATTCCAGTGCTAGAATCGGATATTGAGAAGACTGCCATAACTACACCCTTTGGATTGTTTGAGTTGCCACGCATGATCTTTGGTTTGCGAAACGGAGCCCAAACGTTCCAGAGATTTATGGATTCGGTAGTCCTCAAAGGTCTTGATTTTTTATTCATTTACCTCGATGACGTTATCATAGCTAGCGACTGTATAGCCAGCCATAGAGAACATTTAAAAAAAGTTTTTCAAAGGTTTAACGAGTATGGGGTGACAATAAGTGTTTCTAAATGTGAATTCGGTAAGGCTAAGTTAGAATTCTTAGGATAGGAGGTGTACGTCCTCTTGACCGCAAAGTACAGACTATCGTCAGTTATCCGAGGCCGGAAACCGTCGAGCAGCTACGTCGATTTTTAGGTATGTTGAATTTTTACCGATCTCATATTCTTAAAGCAGCCGACTATCAGGCAGAACTTAACGCGTATTTGCATAATACCAAAAAGCGCGATAAGACTTTAATTAACTGGACTGATAAGGCCAACGAGGCATTTTTGAAGTGTAAAGAGCTTAAAAAACCGCGTACGCTTCATTATCCTTCACCCGACGCGGACTTAGCGTTGATGACCGACGCTTCAAACACTAGTATCGGTGCAGTATTACAACAAAAAGTAAATAATATTTGGCAACCACTTGGTTTTTTCTCAAAAAGTTGTCTGAGTCTGAAAATAAATACTCAACTTATGATAGGGAATTGTTAGCAGTGTATATGGCCGTCAGACTTTTTAAAAATTTATTGGAAGGTCGCATTCTAACAATTTTTACGGATCATAGACAGCTAGTGTATGCATTCCATAAAGTCGGTAACGATAAGGAAAGTCCGAGGAGAGTCCGACATCTCTCGTACATAAGTGAATTTACCACTGATATTCGCTATATTAGCGGAACACAAAATGTAGTGGCTGACGCTTTATCGCGCATAGAGACAGTAAATTGCCCAACAATATTAGATTACACGGATATCGCAATACAACAAGCTAGTGACGAATACCTACAACAAGCATTAAAAGTGTCGGATAGCAACTTGCAGTTTAAGCAGTGTCATTTGCCCGGCTGTGAGAAACCTGTGTATTGCGAAATTTCATCGAGTAATGTTAGACCTTATTTACCGAAACAATTCAGGCAATCAGCATTTCATTCCGTGTATAACCTCAGTCATCATGGCATTAAAACAACCAAAAACTTAATGAAAAAAAGGTTCTTTTGGCCAGATATGGATCGCGATATAGCAAAGTGGGCACGGACATGTCTTAATTGCCAAAAAGTTAAAATTACAAGGCACACTGTATCGGGTGTAGGACAGTTTGATCGACCCGATCGTTTTCAGCATTTACACATAGATATAGTAGGGCCATTACCTATTTCGGCAGACGGTCATAGATATTGTGTAACAATGATAGACCGGTGTACCGGATGGCCCGAAGCTTTTCCGGCACAGAACATTGCAGCGGATATTGTAGCGAGAATAGTATTTGAAGGTTGGATCTCTCGTTTCGGATGCCCTTCGAAGCTGACCAGCGACCAGGGTAGACAGTTTGAGAGTGACCTCTTTCACCAATTAATGAAATACTTAGGAATTCGCAAATTGCGCACCACGGCTTATCATCCACAGAGTAACGACATGGTTGAGCGTTGGCATAGAGCACTAAAAGTGGCTTTAATGGCACGCTTAAAATGCAACAGTTCATGGGTAGATGAATTACCAGTAGCGCTGTTAGGTCTACGCGCCGTTACTAGAAGCGACAGTGGTGTGAGCGCAGCTGAATTAACTTATGGTAAATCAATCAGATTACCGGGTGATTTCTTCGAAGATGCGAAATTTGGCGATACGGATTCGGAATATTTACAAAAGTTGCGGGATACTATACGTAATTTGAATCCGAGATCACCGTGCCACCGTAATTCGCGTTCGTTATTTGTTCCTAATAGATTAGATAATTGTAAATATGTGTTTGTTCGGAATGATTTAATGCGAAAATCTTTTCAACCCCCTTATGATGGCCCCTATAGCGTCATAAGCAGGAGAGGGAAAACTTTTGTCATAAAAATAGGAGAAAAAGAAAGTACTATTTCTATGGATAGTTTAAAACCCGCGTACATTCTGAACGAGAACGATTTAAGCAATAACATTAATTTTAACGATGATAGTTGCAACGATAGTTTTGTTAGCACAAATAACGCAGACACTTCTAGCAAAGTTTTAATTCCAAAAACAACGCGAAGTGGCCGCGTTATCAAGACGCCGGTACGTTTTGCATTATAATCAATTCTATTCTAAGTAGAACGTATCATCGTTACTTAGGATTAGTGGTTATGATTACGATTGTTTTAGGTTCGATGTTTAACCTACATAATTAATAAATGTAATAACTTGTCAGTTTAATTTACTTAATTGTGAATTGTTTCTTTTATTAGCTGTTATGATTTATGTAAATTCTAGGTAATTAAATATGGTAATTAGAAAAGTTCCAATGTTGTATTTTAAGCTTTATTGTATAACTCTAAAGAGTAAACTATATGTACTATAATTAGTTGTAATAATATTTAACAGACACTTACATATTAATATGCACCTATCATTATGCTACATAGTTGCGAGTTGCATAGCATGCATTTCGCAATGGATCAAAGTACATGATTATTGAGGTAACGTTTTAGTTATTGTAGCATTTTAATTGTCATGTCATTGTTAATCATTTTTAATGTAACATGTATTGGCGATTTTTCGTATCGATATTTGTGCAAATTATTTCATGGTAGCTAGACATATATATCTAGAATTGTTCGGAAATGGGATGGAGTCAAAGAGTATGCAATCCGACCATGGTGAGGATGCAGGCGGTTCCCAACCCATTGATTGAAAATGTACATTAAATTGTATTCAACCCATTGAAGATATCAATGGGTTGAATACAATTTAATGTACATTTTGTGAGCTTGTATTGGAATTTGATATAAAGCAATATTTTTTCTTTAAATTTGAAAATGAACAACTCTCTTCATTTCCATAATCAATATGATGCACCAAGCAAGTGAATGTTTCTTTATATTTTTTCCATTTCCATTTTTCCATTTTTAAGTCCAATATGTCTTGTTAAGATATATCATGAAGATAAATAATTCCATCATTGTACACGTACGTGTGTACACCTGCGAATTCTTTGTTTTGCAACTTCGATCAATTATATACTAGATTAAGGATCAGGAACAAAAATAAGTCGCACAAGTGGCCACGTTTGCACATCAACATCTATCTATTTTAGAAAAAAGTTTAATAACATTAACAACTTCAGTTTATTATAAACCTTAATAACACTCTAATATAAAGTTTAGTCACCATTGCAAAATATATTTATTTAAGTCCTTTCATCAGAGAAAGGTTAAAAGCAATAAGTTTAGAATGTCGTTTGAAAATAAAAAGTCATAGGTACAAAAATATTTATTCTAAAATGAAAATTAAACTCATAAGTAATAAGGTTAAAACATTATGTTGACATTTTCGTGCTTACTCTAATTTGGTAGTAAACGTAGTTCTTGGTATTGTATTTCAATGCTCGGAACACAGTAACTATTGAAAGACGTAGAGTTGCAGAATAAAAATATTTTAGGGCAAGGGTCGTTTTGTATGATGACAAATATTTTTGACCGATTTATAAAAGTAATAGGACTAAGTAGTAGGTATTCAATGAAAGGTCATCAATTTCTTTTTTAAATTTTTTCTAGAAGTTTCACATATTAATGTTAAATCTGATAATGATGCATCAGGCGACTTAAAGCAAACTGCATCAGCCCGAGGTACGTCACGTATTTCTGTGGTATCCTCAAGAGTCAAAGTTTATTGGAAATAATTTTAAAGTATTTCATGAAAATACCTACAGGTATAGTTTTTTTTCTGATAAAGATTTTTTTTAATTACCAGATATTGATTATGATTTGATAACTCTTTCGTCATTCTGAACATAAAGCTGATTGCATTTTTATTGGTCCGTGAATCTAAAAAAGTCATAAACAACTTACTTTTTTTACCAAAATCATTATCTCACACTAACAATTGTACTACTTTATGGTAATTATCTGCAATTTGGAAAAACGCTGTTTTTAGTAATCTACGCCTTTGTGTGTTTCCAGTTATGTCCAATCTATCAAAATGAATCGAACATATTCTCGAATTTTTAGATGGGTTGTATATATAGTTCTCATCTTTCTTTCGCGACAGTAGATACTCATTCCGCACAGCGAAATGGTTCCCTAGGAAATCGTCAATCAAAAAAAAAATATATTAAATAATAATACTACTCCATGCATATTTGTTCAAGAACAGCCGATGTTTGTTACAATAGTTGTTGCGTTGTAGCAAACATTGGCCAAACTATCATAATATTAGCTAATTGAATTATTTTTGCTATTTAATTCTGTTTTTATTTTATGAAAAACACTTAATGATGTAAACTTACCGGAAAAAAGATATTCCTTCCAAAATCTTGGTGTTACGGTGGTTATTTGCACAGTTTTTGAACGCGCACTGTGGCATTTCGACGTTTTAACGTTGGCTATAATTGGACCATACTAATTTGAAATAATCCCACAGAAGTGTTTGTGGTCTTATTTTTCTAGCCGTTTTTGAAGCGCTCATCGGGAATCTAGTATATTATTGAGCGAAGTTTTGCAATGTAAAAATGTAGAACGCTTCACGATTTTGGGGTGCGAATGTTAACCTAGTGTAAGTTAAGTGTTTATCTTTATATAAGGAGGGGAATGGTGTAGGGACACAGTATAGGATATACATCATGCCCATACTTATTAGGTGTGGCGGCTGCGTCCGCCACGCGGAGTCGCAAATATAATATCACCGTTTACTCGACACGTGTCTTCATTTATTGCAACCTTCATTGTACCTACCTTAATGGACGAAAGTTAATTAATTAATTAAATACAGTACCCATAAAACCGTACAAAAATATGAGTGAATAAGGCTTGTACTTTTATTTGAAATTATCCTAAATTGAATAAGATTTATGGGCAACAACAACGCGTACGCGCGCTTTTCTTTGCGCAATTAAATTCACAAGGTTTTTGCCAACCGAACGACCCTTACGAATGAGTGCGTGCGTAGTAAAACAGTAGGCGTTAGATATTTATGAACGACAATCAGTTAAAACAATGCTCTCTGCACGCATTCTGAATTTAAAAGATAATAAGGACAGAATGTTTTTGATTTTTTTAATTAATTTTTCTTCACCATTCGCCAATATTACTTATTCTGAACCTTCTCTGCAAATTTATACGTATATCGCAAAAGAACCCCACAATAATATATAATTTCGAGTCACAAATTATTCGCCCATTCTTGAACAAATGTGCATACATTCATAGACAGACATTCATAGATTGTCCCATGAGGGAAATATTTGCTACGCATGATATGCAGGTTAGCAAGATGCTGCGTTTGATTTCCTGGAACATTTCTCTAAACCTGGACTTAACCTCTTTATGCCCGACAAAAAATAAAAATGAAATTTGACACATTCTACCAGCATATGTTGGACATCTTCTATGTGACTTTGAAGATTATAATGTCAATTTGATGATTAGGTCCGTACGGGTCCGAGATGAACATGATCTAGTCTTGTCTTGGTGTGAGTAGGTATTTCCCTATGAAAAAAGAGACTCGTTAGTCAGTTATTTTATCGAAAAGATATGAGCGTGCACCTTTTGATATCGGCGAGTTCTGCTCGCAGCTGCGCGGCACACTGCGTGCGCTGGTCTAGCTGCAGGCGCAGCACCTGCAGCTGCAGCTGCGTCTCGCCATTACGACCGCGCTCAGCTTCCAGCTTAGATCTCAGCACAGATATCTCTCCCTTCAGCCGCTCCACGTTCTCCATCTGAGTAAACAATTATTAGTTAATAACTAAAGAGTAATAATTTTCTTAACAGAATAAGTGACAAAAGAGCACACAGTCCACCTGATGGTAAATGGATGCTGTGGCTCATAGACATCTACAATTATCCCCGATTAAGAATCAAAACGCAGATGCGCTGTCACCAGTGAGGACTAAGATGGAACGCCTCGTTTTCAGTTAAGAAGGATCTCAAGATCTCTAACTCATCATACGATACACAGCAGTATTAACTTGCTATTTTACGCTGGTATTCTGTGAGAGCGTAGTCCTTCCCCGGTCGAGCTGTCCCATTCGTGCTACAATCATAATATAGCTGGAGCGTGGCCGTGATAGAGAAATTTAATTTTCTTTGTGACATTCCTTGGCCAACGTTTAGCAATGGACTGTGGTGATCAACATAAATGTCGATGGTGCGGTTTGAAGGATCAACATAAATGGAGGCCTATATTGGAGTAGGCGAAAAAATTTAATTATTTATCGCTGTGTATTATAATAAAGAAAGATTAATTATTTGATATGTGCGTTCACTCTTATCCTAGTTTGGGGTCCAACGGAAAATATTTGTATATCTTACCTTGAACATTGTTTAGATGTTTAGCTTACTGTTCTTGAAATAATACTAGTTTTTACGGAATTTATCGCGATAAATTCCGTAAAAACTAGTATTATTTCAATGTGTAGTGTTCGCGTATAAGAAATCTTACTGTTCTTGCTTACATTTGTTAAATCTATATGTCAATAAAATTTATTATTATTATTATTATTATTATTACTTATGTACTTGAGATGGAAGTGCCGTGGATGTGGACATGGCCGCGGTCGCGCCGCCGTCGTCTTCTTTGTGAGTCAACAATTATTTTTATTTGTTATCAGAACAATTTAATGTCCCTCTCATATTTTTGTTTCCCTCTGTCACGTCTTATCTTCTTCTTCTTCTACCTAACGTTTATCCCGGTTGCTCATCCCGCCTAACGCGGGAGAACCCAGGGTCCACTTTCCTACACTTCCTCCTCCACTTTGCCCGGTCGGCGTCCCTCGCATCTAGCCCATTGGCGCGCATGTCATCCTGCACGACATGAAGACAGCGTTTCTTGGGCCGTCTTCTACTCCTGGTACCAGGTAGGGTCATGTCCAGGCATTTGTATCCCACGTAGCTTGCCGATCGTCGTAAGACGTGGCCGTACCAGCGAAGGCGACTGACCTGCAGCTTGTCAGCAATGTCACGGACATGGTGGCTGCCACGAATGTATGTATTCCGTACATGGTCTTTCCGCGTTATGCCACACATCTACCGCAGCATCTCCGTGAGATGCAACAACTGCCGGTGACGCTCCAGCACCGGCCACGCCTCACTTCCGTACGTAAGGACAGGCCTTATGATGGTCTTATAGACCTGTCCCTTCAGCTTGACCGGCATTTTGGGGTCACAAATGACACCCGTCACCTCGCACCATTTCGCCCAGGCCGCTGATATACGGGCCTTCGTACACACAGATCCGAGGTACCTGAAGTTGTCCGTGCGCTCGACGGTGTCGTCGCCTATACGGAGAGACGTCAGATCTGTGCTGTTACAGGCCATATACTCCATCTTCGCCACGTTTAGCTTCAGCCCGCCGTTCTCAAGCGCCTCCCTCCATGCGTGCACGCGTCTGGTGAGCCGTCCTTTGTCCCCATCTACCAGTGCAATATCATCCGCGTACATAAGCAGCCAAGGCTGCGGTAGTTTCTGTACGCTGGCTGACAGTTCGTCTAATATCACACTGAAGAGATAGGGGCTTAAGACGGAGCCCTGATGCACGCCTACGGTTATGGGGAAGGGGTTGGTATCACCAACAGCGGCCCTGACTATTGAATCAGAGTTGCGGTTGCATATCACGTACGATTTCCACGTAGGTCTCTGGTACCAACTTCGACCGCAACGCCCATCAGATCATCTCCCTAGTAACACAGTCAAAGGCCTTCTGCAGGTCTAGGAATAAAAAATCCAGAGGCATATTCTTTTTCCTATGCTTCTCCATGAGGATCCTTAGGGAATATAGGGTCTATGGTACCGCGTCCTGGTTGGAAACCGTACTGGGAGTCCGATACTGTACACTCCTGTCGGATCCTAGTGTCAATAATGCGCTCGAAGAGCTTCATGGTGTGTGACGTCACCTTTATACCGCGGTAATTACCGCAATCCTGAACGGACCCTTTACCCTTGTGGACCGGCGTTATTATACTAAGCCGCCACTGATCAGGCATTATTCGGTCGCTCAGCTCTTAAAGGTTAGTAAGAATGCACACACCACGAGCCCCCAGCGCTTTCCACGCTTCAATTGGCACCTCGTCCGGTCCGACAGCTTTCCGAGTCTCCATGGGACGAAGAGATGCGAGGACTTCGTCAGGCGTAATCGGTGGCACGAGTCCATGGTTCGGGAGTTGTTCGGGAGGGTGCACTTCCCGGTGCTGAGTATTAAGCAAAACGTGGAAATAAGAGCGCCATCTCTCCTTCACCGCACGATCATCGTACAGGAGCTCGCCATTAGAGCCGTTGACGCTTCAGCAGCGAGTAATATCTTGCGCTGCTTTGGCCCTAGAGCGCGCCAGTTTATATATGAGCTTGTGCCCCTCAGGAGTGTCCAACTTAGCATATAATGGTTGCAAATGGTCACGCCTGGCTCTGGATAGAACTTTCTTGGCAGCTCTTTTCACTGCCTTGTAAGATGCGCGATCTTCAAGAGATTTCGTCGCTTGCCACGTCTTGAAGAGCGCTTTCTTCTCCCGTAATGAACCCTGGACTGTGGCGTCCCACCACCAGGTCTCTTTGTCGATTTTGCGATACCCCCTTTCGCCACGCCGAGGACTTGCTTTGCCGTCTTTGTGATTGCTGTCTGAATGGGTTTCCAGCACTCTTGGACGGACTTGCCTGCTGTGTCGAGACTAATATCCCCAGCGGCAACGTTCGGCGTGTCTGCGACGAGGTTTTACGCAGAGGTCCATGACAAGAAGTCGGTGTTGGGCAGTGAGACACTCACCGGGTATGACTTTACAGTTGGCCACGCGACTGATATGACTTCTCCTTGTCAGTAGATAGTCGATTTGAGTGGCGTTCCGACCGCTCCTGTAGGTAATCAGGTGCTCGGTTATCTTTTTGAAGAACGTGTTCACCACTGAGAATGGTTTCCCCCTCTGCGTTTCTTCGGCCGTAACCATAGCCGCCGTGGACACGTTCATACTCCCTCTGCACCTCGACCACATGTTCAGGTCGGCACCCAAAACGACATCGTGGGATAACGGTATGCCGCATGGTACATTTCCAAGCCGATCCCAAAACAGCGTCTTATCCGCGTCGCTGCAGCCGACCTGTGGGGCGTAGGCACTTATTAAGTGGGTCACGACCCCCTCAATAAGCAACCTTACTACCATAAGTCGGTCGCATATGCGTCTAACTTCCAAGACGCTATTGTGGAAATGCTCGGCGAGCACCACTGCCACCCCGTTCTCCCCACCAGAAGAGCCTGTATAGATCACTTTGTAGCCGTGCCCAATATTCCGGCTCTTGTTGGCTTTCCACCGTGTCTCCTGCAGGAACGCCACTGCCACATTACGCCTGGCAAGTATGGCCGCAAGTTCTGTGGAGCGTCTCGTAAGCGTGCCAATGTTCCAGTTTGCAAAGCGAATCTTCGTAGTTGGTGCTAACGTCTTTAGCCGGGCTCACACGGGGCCTGGTAGCCCTCGCATACTTGTCGCAGGGTTAAGGCGATCCCCATGCGCGTCGTTATGCGGCGACGCCCTAGTCCTAAACGTATATCTCTTCCTTTTACTTTCCATTTTTGAGTGGCTTAGTGCCAATTACCGGGGCGACTACCGTCTGACCCTCGAACCCCTACAACGAATCCCAGAGGAGTGGCTTCGCCAGAGCCCTTTCCGTTGTCCAGCAGGAGGGGTTGGCTTGGGCTCCATGATTTTAGCGGAGCCCCTTACACCCCCTCTGTCACGTCTTATAATACCCACGAAATAATATTGTGTAATCAATACTCTTACGCCACTACCACATGCCGTCAAAAAATCGTTGTCGTTACAGCTTATTCACAGTTGAACATAAGGCTCATAGATTGCCTCATAGAGGCGATATATACCACTACACGGTACAAAAAGTACTAACTAATTAGAATACTACATATTAAATAAAACTAATTACTTAAATTATGTCGTATTTAATATTTGATTATTTTTAAATTTTCATTATTTCGAATATTGAATATTTCAAATAATAACCCGAATATAAAAAATAAATATATATAATAATAATAAATAATACCCTATAAAAAATACCGATACCGATATAAGAACCACTCAAAAGTAAAAAAATAAAAAATAAAATAAGATAAAACTCGTTATATAGTAGTATTTTTTGCCTTTGAAATGAAGCTAATATCATAGTAATGAGAGGGAGAAAGCATGATGAGCGAGCGATAGATTCTCGTCCGATAAAATAAGTAGTAAAAAATTGTTGCACACTCACCTACTAAGCTGTTGTTAGCTTAGTTGGTGAGTGTGCAACAATTTTTTCATCTGGTTTTTGTTTTATCCTTTATCCTTTGCATATTTGACTTTATTTATTTATTTAAAATCTTTTTTGCACATAAAGTGTACAATTATGAGACTTAATGGCTTCAGCATTCTTTGCCAGTCAACCGTGAGCTAAACAGAAAAACTTAAACAGACACAACATAAACATGAAAATATGCATTCATAAATGTAAATACATATATATATATATATATATATATATATATATATATATATATATATATCATACATTTATATATACTTATAAATAGACATTACTATTAATAACCTAATGATATACACTACATCTGATAAATAGCGTACGCAATCCTTAAAATAACACACAATAAACTAATTTTAAGACACATACAAATATAATATATTTATATTACACAAAAAATATAATATCAACACATACACAAGCAGAAATATTTCAGAAAGTAAGCCTCGTTAATTAGCTTTAGGTTAATAAGAGGACATAATAAGCATTTACCTCGGGCCTTAAGACTTCTCGAGCACCGTTTACAGGTAAAGCGCTTTCCAACTCTGCAACGCGTCTCCTCAGCCTTTGTTCACGTTCCTGCAGTTCAAGTTCGGACTGCATAGCGCTCTCTAGGCGCTTCTTCAGAATCTGGATCATGTTCGAGTCCTGATTCTACGATGGAAACAATATCAAGTTAGGCATTTTGATTTCAATATAAAGTAAGTAAACCTCTACTCTACTGGGACCGGGGCCATTATCATAGTTGATAGACCAGACACAGTCAAATTTCAAAAATGTTTCTGGTCGACATTACCATTCCGTAAGAGCAAAATAAAAAAAGCCAAAACGGATAAGCGAACAAAATATCGGGACCTGGCTCAACAGTTGGAAAGATTACAAATCTATAACTAAACAAATTATGGTCCTTCGAGGCCGAAACGTTTTGATTACGGTACGAAGTAATCGATTTCATGAGGAAAGGAAGAAAGAAATAGCGTAAAAAAAGCAGCATCATTTTACTATTTCCCGTCGTGAATGACCAGAGAACCAAACCCTTTGAGTGATAAGTAGGCAACGCATTTTAGTTCTTAGGGGAGGCGAAGCTTATAATTCTTGATCAAAGATTAAGTTTATTTATAGAATAAGGGTGACAAACGAGCACACAGTCCACCTAATCCGAAGTGGATGCTGTGACCCATAGACACCTACATCTACCTTCAATTAAAAATCACAATGCAATGCATGCTTATTCACCTCTAAGGACTTTTATAAGTCTCCGGTTCTCTATACTCACCATACAGCAGCATTGAGCAGCCATTTTACGCTGGTATTCTGTCAGAGCGTGATCCTTCCCCGGTCGAGCCGACCCATTCGTGCTATAAACATAAAATTTAAACTTGCAGTCTATATTACTATCAGGCGAACTGTGTTTGCGCTTGTCACTTTTACTAGTCTACAAACACACCTGCAAGCTTTCGGATGTCTCCTTCTGGGAATCCAGTAACAACTGCAGTCTTCCCGAATTGTCACGCTCAGCTTCGTATCGTAGCCTGACCGTTTGCCAGTCTTGGACTAGCTTGTCTCTAATCCTGTAACAGAAGACAAGTGTTGGCAACGCTAGAAGAATCTGTATTAAAAACTATAAAATATCAAAGTTATTATGAGAGGTAAATTTTAACTTTTTAAATCAAGTGTAAGACATGTTGTCACCTTTGAATTAATTTAAATACAATTGAGTTCTCACTTGTTGTACAAAAAAATTGCATGTTTACCTATAAAATATTTGCACATCATATATAGTGGTAGAATGTAAATGGGCCATTAGATATAATTTAAGATCATACTTTATTGTACACATACATTCTGGTAAAAAAAATTAATTTGCATTTCACCCAGCCCGGCTTCACCTGGGTAAGATCTATTAATGTGGCGTTATTTAGATTTTTAAGATAATAATCAAAGACCATTTGTTTTATAAATTTTCGATTTCTCAAAAAACATCTCTAAGTTTTTTGTATAAAGTAAAGCATAGATCACTCCTGGCATCTATATGTCGCTTCAGCCATTGAAGCGATTGTGAAAGACTTATTTCCGGATTTATTTACATGTAAAGATAGTATTTTGCTTGTGTTCCAAGGAGTAGATGTTATTTTAATATTTTATTAAATAATATTTTTTTTTGAAGACTGATAATAAACAATATATATCAATAAGCAATATATAATATTTAGCAATATATAAATTTTGAAGATAACATTCTATATGGGATACATACCGATTCAACTCCGTTATTAAAGCGTCTTTGTCCTTAAGCCTGGACTCAAGATTTTCGACCTGCATCCGCAACTTCTCATTCTCAGCTCGCAAACGACCAACCCGATCTGAAGACGTCGAGTGGATAGAGCTCGACGACCTGGATTAAAATAAATATTTGTTGTAAAACAATTCCAAAGCCCACGGCAAAAAATTAAAGTACAGCTACTTACTTAGAAGTGTTCAAAGCGAGACGCGGTATATCTTCCCGTTCGTCGCTGCTTGCTGATAGTATCTGCAAGTTAATCATAATAAAATATTTTAGCATTTGAAATGAAATATTGTACATACTGGATGGTAAGTGTACATGAATGATAAGTAAGAATAGAATCGGTCTCCAGTTTTCGTCACTCACCATGTGACAGACACTACAGAAGATGTGAATCATTCTGCTATTTCACGCTGGTGGCTGGTGGCTTGTGTAGTCAAGATGTATTGCATATTTCGCTTAACTCGCAAGATCATTTAATACATTATTGAAAGATCTTATCTTATTTTTTTCTTAATTAAAATGACGTAATAAACGAACCTACAGTCCACCTCGTGGTAAGTGGATACAGTTTTATGGACACCTGCAGTTAATTTAAAATAAAGAAGGTAAAGCTGGATTGCTACCTCTACTGACTACGATTTTATGCCTCAGAACCGGTAATTATACTGGCTTTCTATACCTTCAGTCCGGAACACAGCACTACAAGCATTTCGCGGTAGAAATACGTAAAGGGTTGGTACCTACCCCAACGGACTCTTGGGTAAGAAAGAAGGACTCCTCCTAACACCTAGTAATTTTTTTTTCATAAATATGTTTTAACTAGTTCTAAATTTTTTTAACTTTAATTAATTATAATCAATTTTAGATGAAATCATTAAATAAAATTATGTCAAAAAAATATAGTTCAAAAGTATGATATGGTATTATTTATTTTGTTCAGTAAAAATACGATCGAAGACACAAGTTGACACAAAGCACGAGAGTGAACAAATTGGCACAGCTGCACGTTGAGACAGAGCTAAAGATTGCAGTGCGTGTACCTGGTCTATAATGTGGTCGTCGAGCGCGTGCGGGTAGTGCAGCTGGCCGCGCAGAGCGCGCTCCAGCTGCACATTGAGTCAGAGCTGAAGATTGTAGTGCGTGTACCTGGTCCATAATGTGGTCGCCGAGCGCGTGCGGGTAGTGCAGCTGGCCGCGCAGAGCGCTCTCCAGCTGCACATTGAGTCAGAACTGAAGATTGCAGTGCGTGTACCTGGTCCATAATGTGGTCGTCGAGCGCGTGCGAGTAGTGCAGCTGGCCGCGCAGAGCGCTCTCCAGCTGCACATTGAGTCAGAACTGAAGATTGCAGTGCGTGTACCTGGTCCATAATGTGGTCGTCGAGCGCGTGCGAGTAGTGCAGCTGGCCGCGCAGAGCGCTCTCCAGCTGCACATTGAGTCAGAACTGAAGATTGCAGTGCGTGTACCTGGTCCATAATGTGGTCGTCGAGCGCGTGCGAGTAGTGCAGCTGGCCGCGCAGAGCGCTCTCCAGCTGCACATTGAGTCAGAACTGAAGATTGCAGTGCGTGTACCTGGTCCATAATGTGGTCGTCGAGCGCGTGCGAGTAGTGCAGCTGGCCGCGCAGAGCGCTCTCCAGCTGCACATTGAGACAGAGCTGAAGATTGCAGTGCGTGTACCTGGTCCATAATGTGGTCGTCGAGCGCGTGCGAGTAGTGCAGCTGGCCGCGCAGAGCGCTCTCCAGCTGCACATTGAGTCAGAACTGAAGATTGCAGTGCGTGTACCTGGTCCATAATGTGGTCGTCGAGCGCGTGCGAGTAGTGCAGCTGGCCGCGCAGAGCGCTCTCCAGCTGCACATTGAGTCAGAACTGAAGATTGCAGTGCGTGTACCTGGTCCATAATGTGGTCGTCGAGCGCGTGCGAGTAGTGCAGCTGGCCGCGCAGAGCGCTCTCCAGCTGCACATTGAGACAGAGCTGAAGATTGCAGTGCGTGTACCTGGTCCATAATGTGGTCGTCGAGCGCGTGCGAGTAGTGCAGCTGGCCGCGCAGAGCGCTCTCCAGCTGCACATTGAGTCAGAACTGAAGATTGCAGTGCGTGTACCTGGTCCATAATGTGGTCGTCGAGCGCGTGCGAGTAGTGCAGCTGGCCGCGCAGAGCGCTCTCCAGCTGCACATTGAGTCAGAGCTGAAGATTGCAGTGCGTGTACCTGGTCCATAATGTGGTCGTCGAGCGCGTGCGAGTAGTGCAGCTGGCCGCGCAGAGCGCTCTCCAGCTGCACATTGAGTCAGAACTGAAGATTGCAGTGCGTGTACCTGGTCCATAATGTGGTCGTCGAGCGCGTGCGAGTAGTGCAGCTGGCCGCGCAGAGCGCTCTCCAGCTGCACATTGAGTCAGAGCTGAAGATTGCAGTGCGTGTACCTGGTCCATAATGTGGTCGTCGAGCGCGTGCGAGTAGTGCAGCTGGCCGCGCAGAGCGCTCTCCAGCTGCACATTGAGTCAGAGCTGAAGATTGCAGTGCGTGTACCTGGTCCATAATGTGGTCGTCGAGCGCGTGCGAGTAGTGCAGCTGGCCGCGCAGAGCGCTCTCCAGCTGCACATTGAGTCAGAGCTGAAGATTGCAGTGCGTGTACCTGGTCCATAATGTGGTCGTCGAGCGCGTGCGAGTAGTGCAGCTGGCCGCGCAGAGCGCTCTCCAGCTGCACATTGAGTCAGAACTGAAGATTGCAGTGCGTGTACCTGGTCCATAATGTGGTCGTCGAGCGCGTGCGAGTAGTGCAGCTGGCCGCGCAGAGCGCTCTCCAGCTGCACATTGAGTCAGAGCTGAAGATTGCAGTGCGTGTACCTGGTCCATAATGTGGTCGTCGAGCGCGTGCGAGTAGTGCAGCTGGCCGCGCAGAGCGCTCTCCAGCTGCACATTGAGACAGAGCTGAAGATTGCAGTGCGTGTACCTGGTCCATAATGTGGTCGTCGAGCGCGTGCGAGTAGTGCAGCTGGCCGCGCAGAGCGCTCTCCAGCTGCACATTGAGACAGAGCTGAAGATTGCAGTGCGTGTACCTGGTCCACAATGTGGTCGTCGAGCGCGTGCGAGTAGTGCAGCTGGCCGCGCAGAGCGCGCTCCAGCTGCACATTGAGACAGAGCTGAAGATTGCAGTGCGTGTACCTGGTCCATAATGTGGTCGTCGAGCGCGTGCGAGTAGTGCAGCTGGCCGCGCAGAGCGCTCTCCAGCTGCACATTGAGACAGAGCTGAAGATTGCAGTGCGTGTACCTGGTCCACAATGTGGTCGTCGAGCGCGTGCGAGTAGTGCAGCTGGCCGCGCAGAGCGCTCTCCAGCTGCACATTGAGACAGAGCTGAAGATTGCAGTGCGTGTACCTGGTCCACAATGTGGTCGTCGAGCGCGTGCGAGTAGTGCAGCTGGCCGCGCAGAGCGCTCTCCAGCTGCACATTGAGACAGAGCTGAAGATTGCAGTGCGTGTACCTGGTCCATAATGTGGTCGTCGAGCGCGTGCGAGTAGTGCAGCTGGCCGCGCAGAGCGCTCTCCAGCTGCACATTGAGTCAGAGCTGAAGATTGCAGTGCGTGTACCTGGTCCATAATGTGGTCGTCGAGCGCGTGCGAGTAGTGCAGCTGGCCGCGCAGAGCGCTCTCCAGCTGCACATTGAGTCAGAGCTGAAGATTGCAGTGCGTGTACCTGGTCCACAATGTGGTCGTCGAGCGCGTGCGAGTAGTGCAGCTGGCCGCGCAGAGCGCTCTCCAGCTGCACATTGAGTCAGAGCTGAAGATTGCAGTGCGTGTACCTGGTCCATAATGTGGTCGTCGAGCGCGTGCGAGTAGTGCAGCTGGCCGCGCAGAGCGCTCTCCAGCTGCACATTGAGTCAGAGCTGAAGATTGCAGTGCGTGTACCTGGTCCATAATGTGGTCGTCGAGCGCGTGCGAGTAGTGCAGCTGGCCGCGCAGAGCGCTCTCCAGCTGCACATTGAGTCAGAACTGAAGATTGCAGTGCGTGTACCTGGTCCATAATGTGGTCGTCGAGCGCGTGCGAGTAGTGCAGCTGGCCGCGCAGAGCGCTCTCCAGCTGCACATTGAGTCAGAGCTGAAGATTGCAGTGCGTGTACCTGGTCCATAATGTGGTCGTCGAGCGCGTGCGAGTAGTGCAGCTGGCCGCGCAGAGCGCTCTCCAGCTGCACATTGAGTCAGAACTGAAGATTGCAGTGCGTGTACCTGGTCCATAATGTGGTCGTCGAGCGCGTGCGAGTAGTGCAGCTGGCCGCGCAGAGCGCTCTCCAGCTGCACATTGAGTCAGAGCTGAAGATTGCAGTGCGTGTACCTGGTCCATAATGTGGTCGTCGAGCGCGTGCGAGTAGTGCAGCTGGCCGCGCAGAGCGCTCTCCAGCTGCACATTGAGTCAGAACTGAAGATTGCAGTGCGTGTACCTGGTCCATAATGTGGTCGTCGAGCGCGTGCGAGTAGTGCAGCTGGCCGCGCAGAGCGCTCTCCAGCTGCACATTGAGACAGAGCTGAAGATTGCAGTGCGTGTACCTGGTCCATAATGTGGTCGTCGAGCGCGTGCGAGTAGTGCAGCTGGCCGCGCAGAGCGCTCTCCAGCTGCACATTGAGACAGAGCTGAAGATCGCAGTGCGTGTACCTGGTCCATAATGTGGTCGTCGAGCGCGTGCGAGTAGTGCAGCTGGCCGCGCAGAGCGCTCTCCAGCTGCACATTGAGACAGAGCTGAAGATTGCAGTGCGTGTACCTGGTCCATAATGTGGTCGTCGAGCGCGTGCGAGTAGTGCAGCTGATCGCGCAGAGCGCGCTCCAGCTCCGCGGTGGGCGAGCGTGCAGCTTCCCGCCTGCAAGTACACGAGCTTGACAACCTCAAAAACATTTTCACGTGAATCATCATTATTACAGCGCTTCACAAGTCCACTGCCGAGGCCTATGGCCTCACCCAAGGAACGCCACAAAGCACGATCCTGAGCCACTGCAAAAAGCAGGTCGTCACTCAATCAAGCGGGAGGGGGACGCACCTACTCCTTTCTTCCCCATTGGTTGTCGGTTCCTCGAGCTATATGGCCGGCCTATCGTTACTTCAGCTTAATAATCTGTAGGTCTATTCATTCATTTATATATATATATATATATATATATATATATATATATATATATATATATATATATATATATATATATATATATATATAGTATATTTATTACTTAAGTACTTGGGGATATTATTATCTTTGATTAAGAATCAAAATACAAATACGTATATCACCCCTGAGGACTAAGATGGAATGCCTCGTTTCCAGTAAAAAAGGTCTCCAGTTTTCTACATGCACCATACGAAACACAGCAGCATTAAGCTGCGATTTTACGCTAATATTCTGTGAGAGCGTGGTCTTTCCCCGGTCGAGTCCCATTCGCGCTACAACTGTAATATAGATGCAGCATGGCTCTATCATGTAACAAACTATAACACACATCGGGGAGCAACGTCAAAGGTGCAAGACGTCTGATACTGCGGTAAACAATCCGCGAAGACGATTCAGAGCCTAAGGATAGACCCATGTCCAGTAGAAGACTTTTATGGGTCGATAAAGAATAAAGAAGAAGGAGAAGAAGATTTGTCTTAAGATCATTGAACAAAGGAAAAGTTTAATCAATTCTCTGCTATTAAAAAAAACAACTAGGATGCAGCCTGATCGCACACTTAGTCGTTACTGTTACACCCTATCACAAGTCCAATGAAAATAGGATTCCCCCATAGATTGCCTCATAGGGGGATCCCCCCTATGAGACTTGAGTTGCCACGCTTATCAGGCGGGTTGGCAAAAGCAGTTTTAAATTACACTCATACCAGTACAAGTATTTACCCTCTCAGTGGTAAAATTTTCCAAAACTCTTTCTTATTGGGTATCTACGTGGATAAATTAGTATATATGTCAAATTTTAAGTCAATCGCACGTATAGTTGTCGAGATCTCGTGATGAGTAAGGCAGTGGTATTTCACTTATGTTTATATAGAACATAAACAAAAATTCTATTAACAATATACATTAATTTTTATATGTATGTATCATGAACACTAACCGGTCAACCATGTCCCTCATTTCATGAAGTTGCATTTCTAATTCGTGGCAACTTTCGGCTTTCTCGCGCAATTTCGCCTTTATTTCACTCACATTTGATTCTTCTCTCAATCTAAAAAAATTAGGGTGTCAAAAATATTTCAACATAGAGATCTATAGTTTACAATAATTATTCACCTGCAATAAAAAAAATTGCCGTGTAGTGGCGGTTAAGAATATCCACTACCCCATATCTTCCCGTGGGTGTCGTAAAAGGCGACAGAGGGAGACAGGCAGGAGATGGGCAGCAGCATCTTCCTGATAACAGCAACTGTACGACAAAAAAAAACTGCGGTTGCCAACCCGCTCGCCAAGCGTGGCAACTATGGCAATATACCCCCCATGAACAATTACACAAATAGACGGCCCCCAGTCCCCGGCGGCCCCGCTATTCCTGGCTACGGTGGCGACCATGGTAACGGCGGGGCAGGGGGTGCTAAGAATCTCCGGTGGAGGTTCGGTTGCCACCTACGACGACTCGACCTGGCAACATTTAACGCACGCACCCTGAGGACTGACGAGAAGATCCTGGAGCTGGAAGAAGAGATAGACAAGTTGCGCTGGAGTATTATAGGATTATCCGAGGTCCGAAGAGAGGGGGAGGACACGGTGATTCTCGAATCCGGCAACTTGTTCTATCACCGGGAGGGCGACCATCTGTCCCAAGGAGGTGTCGGATTTATCGTCCACAAGTCTCTCGTCAACAACGTTGTAAAGATTGGGAGTGTGTCGACGAGGGTCGCGTACCTGATACTCAGAATCACCAAACGGTATTCGCTGAAGGTCATACAGGTTTACGCACCAACCTCGGCACATTCCGATGAGGAGGTGGAGGAAATGTATGAGGATATTTCCAAAGCCATGCATTCCTCCAAAACCCACTACACGGTGTTGATGGGAGACTTCAACGCAAAACTAGGCACAAGAGAAAACGGTGAGCTGAAGTTAGGGAAATTTGGAGTAGGGCAACGGAACCGAAGGGGCCAGCAGCTGGCCGACTTTATGGAGAAAGAGGGACTCTTTATGATGAACTCTTTCTTCCAGAAGCGGCCCCACAGGAAGTGGACCTGGTCGAGCCCCGACGGTTCAACAAAAAATGAGATTGACTTCATTATGACGACCAGACGCCAACTGTTCAGTGATGTCTCAGTGATCGCAAGGGTGAAAACTGGCAGCGATCACCGAATGGTTAGAGGCACACTGAACCTAAACGTTAAGTTGGAGAGGTCTCGTCTAATGAAGTCAACGCTCCGTCCCCCTCGTGCTCTAATCCAAAATCCCGAAAACTTTCAGCTCGAGTTACACAACCGCTTTCAGTGCCTACAAGATTGCAATGCAGTGGACGATATGAATGACAAGCTCGTGGAAACTGTCCATGCGGTCGGAGCTAAGTTCTGCAAGACCCGCCGCAGAAGAACACAAAAACTCTCCGATCACACTCTTAATCTCATGGCTGTTAGACGGGAGATGAGGCTGCAATCGTCAACAGATTTGACAGCATACAGGCAACTGAACAGACAGATCTCCAAATGCATGCGGCGAGACTTACGCAACTTTAATACTGCTCGTATTAAAGAAGCGATCGAGCGGAACCAGGGCTCCAAAGTCCTTGCCAGAGATCTGTCTGCCCGTAAGAGCCAACTGTAAAGGCTGAAGACTGAGTGTGGCAGCATCGTTTCCGGGACACCTGAGATTTTGAGTGAGATTGAGAGGTTCTATGGGCAGCTGTACACATCATCGTTGGAGCCACACGCAAGTGTGAGTAACAATCCAAGAGCAAGTCTTATCCGACACTATTCCGATGATATCCCGGACGTCAGTCTAAGCGAGATTAGAATGGCTCTCCAGCACCTTAAAAACGGCAGGGCCCCAGGCGAGGATGGAATTACAGCGGAGCTTCTGAAAGCGGGTGGAACACCGGTACTTGAAGTCCTTCAGAAGCTCTTCAATTCCGTCCTCCATGGTGGCACTACTCCAGAGGCGTGGAGCAGAAGTGCGGTGGTCTTGTTCTTTAAGAAAGGCGACAACGCTCTCTTGAAGAACTACAGACCGATTTCCCTTCTGAGCCGCGTCTACGTGCTGTTTTCGAGAGTCATTACGAATCGTCTCGCACGCAGACTCGACGACTTCCAGCCTCCCGAACAAGCCGGTTTCCGAAAAGGCTTCAGTACCATAGACCACATACATACACTGCGGCAGATTGTACAGAAGACTGAAGAGTACAATTTGCCACTTTGCCTGGCGTATGTGGACTATGAGAAAGCCTTTGATTCCGTCGAAATTTGGGCGGTGCTGCAGTCCCTTCAGCTGTGCCAAGTTGACTGTCGGTATATCGAAGTGCTGCAGTGTTTGTACAGTAGGGCTACGATGGCTATCCGAGTACAGAACCAGAGCTCGAAACCTATCCAACTGCAGAGAGGTGTAAGACAGGGTGACGTTATATCCCCGAAACTCTTCACCGCTGCTTTGGAAGACGTTTTCAAGCTACTGGACTGGAAAGGATACGGTATTAACATCAATGGCGAGTACATCACTCACCTTCGATTTGCCGACGATATAGTCCTTATGGCAGAATCGCTGGAGGACTTAAGCACTATGCTCAATGACCTCAATAGTGCCTCCCAACGGATAGGTCTTAAGATGAACATGGACAAAACAAAGATCACGTTTAATGTCCATGTCACGCCTATGCCGGTAGTTGTTGGGAGCACTATGCTCGAAGTTGTTGACGAGTACGTTTACCTGGGACAAATAGTCCGACTAGGTAAGTCCAACTTCGACCGAGAGGTCAATCGACGGATTCAACTCGGCTGGGCAGCGTTCGGGAAATTACGACACATCTTCTCGTCAGGTATACCTCAATCTCTGAAAACTAAAGTGTACAACCAGTGCGTGTTGCCAGTGATGACTTACGGATCAGAGACGTGGTCCTTCACTGCTGGCCGTATGAGGACGCTCAAGGTCGCTCAGCGAGCTATGGAGAGGGCTATGCTCGGAATTTCTCTGCGTGATAGACTCAGAAATGAGGATATCCGCAGTAGAACCAGAGTGACCGACATAGCACAACGGATTAGTAAGCTGAAGTGGCAACGGGCCGGCCATATAGCTCGAAGAACCGATAACCGATGGGGAAGAAAGGTTCTCGAGTGGCAGCCTCGTACCGGTAGGCGTAGTGTAGGGCGACCCCCCACTATATGGAGTGACGACCTGGTAAGATATGCAGGAAGTCGATGGATGCAGGTGGCTCAGGACCGTGCTTTGTGGCTTATTACTTGGGGGAGGCCTATGTTCAGCAGTGGACTTGTGAAGGGCTGTGATGATGATGATGATGATGAATAAAAAAATATTACCTGGCAACAACATTGTCCAACTGTTCACTTAACTGTTGCTTCTCTTCTACTAACTGCCGTATCTCTTGCTTGAGCGCTTCAGTTTGCTTCATCAGTTCCTTATTTACAACCTCTTTGTCTGATACTTGCTTGGCTGCTTGGCTAGCATTATTCCTCAGCTCAGTCACGTCTAATTTAGCTTTTGCTAATTCGAAGGCCTATGAAATATTAATAAAGATATGTTGTAATACGAAACACAATAGAAGAATTATCAAATAAAATAAACTTTTTATACATCTATATAACAAAAACAAGCTGTAACAACCTATATATAGATTTAAAATATTTATTTATTATAGTCAACCAAATCTAAGAAATACATTTTGACAGCTGTCAGACTTTTTGCACCAAGCATGCCAACCAATAAATGGGAACGTACGATATTAGATTCTTAAAAAAATTGACGACGAAGGTTTGAATACTAGGCTGCACTAAAAGTATCGGGAATGGAATATTTCTACTGTTCCTGTCATATTAAAATCTTTTTAATTGAAAACTCCTTGGTTTTAAAAATCGAATACCATTTATTTATTTAAAAAAAGATTCTCGGTCTTGTCACAAGGTTTTGTCAAACTTGTTTAGTCGTTGAGAAAATGGAATTGACTCGACAAAATTCAAGAGCGATGATTTATAATGACTCGAAGTGGTTTAACACAAAAACAGTGTGTTGACCGGATGGTTTCTGCATTTGGTGATGAAGCCCCATCCAAAACCACAATTTATCGCTCGTTTGCTGACTTTCAACGTGGACGTGTCAAGCTCAGTGATGATCCCCGTCAAGGTCGTCCAAAAACTGCAGTCACCCAAGAAAACGTTGATGCTGTGCGTAAGCTGATTGAGGAAGATCGACACGTGACATACCGAGATATTCAGGCAACTTTAGACATTGTCAGGAGTAAAATACAAATAATCTTGCATGAACAATTACGTGTAAAAAAGTTGTTTTCCCGATGGATACCGCATTCGCTCTGTGAAGAGCAAAAAGCGGCTCGCGTTACTTGGTGCGTCAGAACTCTCGAAAGATTCCACGCAGGATCCTCAAATGCTATATACAAGATCGTATCAGGTGACGAAACCTGGATATACACGTACGAACCCGAAACAAAAAACCAGTCACGAGTTTGGGTGTTCGAAAATGAGATAAAGCCAACAAAAATTGTTCGTTCACGGAGTGTTGCAAAAAAAATGGTGGCCACGTTTGTTTCCAAAACCGGCCATGTTACGACTATTCTTTTTGAGGGACAAATGTCGGTTAATGCAGAATGGTATGCTAGCATTTGTTTGCCACAGGTCGTTTCTGAACTCCGTAAAGAGAAATGCAACCGCCGCATCATTCTCCATCACGAAAATGCGAGTTCTCACACCGCACACAGAACAAGAGTTTTTAGAGCAAGAAAACATAGAATTATTAGACCATCCGCCGTACAGCCCCGACCTAAGCCCTAATGATTTCTATACTTTCCCTAAAATAAAGAATAAATTGCGTGGACAGAGATTTTCATCACTTGAAGAAGCTGTGGACGCCTGCAAAACGGCCATTTTGGAGACCCCAACTTCCGAATGGAATGGTTGCTTCAATGATTGGTTCCATCGTATGGAAAAATGTGTCAAATTTTGCGGAGAATACTTCGAAAAGCAATAAATACATTTTTAAATAGTAATGTTGTGTCACTTCCTTGATTCCCGAAATTTTCAGTGCCGCCCTCGTAATAATAGAATAAATTAAAAACGGATAATTTAAAACACAAGATTTATCAGTTTTATTTGTTGTTACTGCTTATTTCCAGAGGCATAGTTATAAAAAATTAAGATTGAAACTAGATTAAAAATAAATTTGTATCACTTTCAGTACAAATATTTGAGCTGTCGTTGTTTAGATTAATTAATATTAGATTTTCAGTAATGCAGTCATAATTAATGTCTCTTTGAAAGTCATCTATAATCATTTTTTTTTTGATTTTTCTACCACTTTTGCCAAATCAGTTTCCACTTTTGCCAATTCCTTTGTGACATGGGCTCATGCTTCAACGAATATGGAAGAAACCGTTTAAAAAGTTAAAGCTGAGACACAAAATCCCAAAATTACGCACAGTGAGCTCCCGAAATGGCAGAAGATTGAAATTACGTTTTTTTTTTGTTTTTTTTTTTTTTTAGCACACAGTCCACCTGATGGTAAGTGGCTGCTGTGGCCCATAAACATCTACATCTATCCTTGATTAAAGCAGATGTATTGTCACCCGTGAGGACTAAGATGGAATGCCTCGTTTCCAGTAAAAAGGGTCTCCGGTTCTCTACACTCACCATACGAAATACAGCAGCATTAAGCTACTATTTCACGCTGGTATTCTGTGAGAGCGTGGTCCTTCCCCGGTCGAGCCGACCCATTCGTGCTACAACTATACATCTAATATAACTGCAGCATGGCTCTACCACGTATAAAAACTCTACCACGTAGCAGTGTTTTCAGCGCGACCTTGTATATGAGTTTTTTTTTGCCTACACAAATTTACGTAAACAAAGTAAAAAAATAAACTTGTTTTATACGTGATTAATGTAATTAAAGGAATTACAAAAAACAAATTTAATTAAACAAATAATACATTAAAAATATTGATTCGATTATTTGAATATTTTTTCCGATTATTCGATTATTTTTGCCGATTATTCGCGTAACAATGAGTTTTAATCATCCAAACACTACGGTAAGGTACATAGCGACATATCATTGAAACGACGTCAAGTAAAAAAAAGTTGATACTGGTTATTTTTTAATATTTTGCTTTGTTGGAAAGATTCGAAATTAATTTGGTGATAAAAACTATACACGTTGAAATATAGATAACTTCATATCCTTCGGTATTACGTAAAAGGTTATTTTCATATATTCATATTCACAATAGAGTGCAAGGCCCCATTTACTCTATTTCCCGCATTCACTCTTCGTTCTATATCCTTATCATATCTCCCATCCCTGCTAAATACGCAGCCCAAATATACAAACTCATGTACTTGGTCGATCAACTCCCCTTCTATTCTTATTTCACAAATCGTTTTACTTTCTTCTCTTTCAAAAACCATAACCTTCGTCTTACTTGCGTTCACTTTCATACCCCTTTCTTTTAATGATCCGTTCATTAATGTAACCAACATTTGCAACTCGGCCGCCGACGACGCAAGAATAACTTGATCATCGGCGTACAAAAAGGCGTTTGCCTTTTGCCAAATGAATAATGTGAAACGTCAAAAGTTATTTCTTAAATTTGGTTGACTATAGATCAATTGAAAAACTTTAAATTAAAATTATCATACAGCCCTACTCCCTGCGGTATAGTGCGCCAAGAACGCTGGTTGCATTTCCTTGCCAAACGGCTATATTTAGCTTTTAAGCGAAAATACATATTATGTTACTTAGTTTTCGAATTACGTCTTGAATAAATAACAAAAGTTAAAACGACTCACCTTATCATTTAGCTCTTTCTTGTTAAAATCTAACTCGTGTTGAAGCAAAGAAATCTGCTTTCTAATCTTCGCCAACTGTTTTCTGTCATTACTCGCTTGACGGTCCGGCGTTTTCCTGTCCTCTCCGTTTTTGCTTCTTGGAGATGGACTTCTTGAAACCATTTGCAACTGCTCTTTCAGAGAAGCAATCTCATTGTGATAGGAATTTATGTCCTCATTAAGAATTTCAATTTCTGTTTCTTTGTCTTTCAATTTTTCATTTAAAGTTTTCAGTTCTTCAATTTTCGACGTTAATTCTCTGTTCATAGAGTTCACCCTTTCAAGTTCATTTTCACTGTTTTGCAATCTTAGAGATGCATTTTCTTGTTCTTTCTCCAGTTTGGATAATTTCAGATTAAGTTCCTTGTTATAACTCTTAAGTTCGTTGTTTTCTTCGCTGATTCTATTCATATCACGATTTAAAGCATCGACTGTTCCTTGCAATTGGTAAAGTTCATTTGACTTTTCATGAAATGCTTCTTTTAAATTATCATACTCTTCGGTCTTATCATTAAGACATCTCTGTAAGTCGTCTAATCTGTCCAAATGTTGGTTCAGGCTATCAATCTGTTGATTCTTCTCAGTCACTAACTGCTCTAATTTCTGCAGCTCTTTGATTTTTTCTTTCAATTGATGAGTCTCTGTTTCAAACTTTTCTAGTGTCTCATTTCTGCTTTGTAGCTCGTCAATTTTAACTTCCAACTCAGTCAATCTGTTAGTCAAGTTGCGTTTCTCTTTAGCTAATTCCAAAATCATATTCTCCCTTCGGAGTATATCTTCCTTGAGCAAATGTAAGTCTTTAGTTTTGTTACTAATTTCTTGAGTCATTTCTGCTAGTCTCTGTTCTAATAATTTTTTGTTTGATGAGAAATTTTCTAGTTGATTCTCATAAAATTTCTTATCATTCTCCATGGTGGCCATCGTATTCTCTAAAAGACCTTTCAACTCTTCCACTTCTTCCTTTAGTGCTGGAAACTCGCATAGTTGTTCTTCGGCGTTCTTCAATTCCGACTTACAACTTTCAAGTTCGTTTCTGGTCTTTTTAAGCTCATGTTTCAATTGAGCCAATATATCTGGAAAATTCTCTTGCTTCACATCCAAAGATATCCCCAGTTCTCTGAGTGACGTGAAATCTTCATCTTGCGTTTTGTTATCTGAGGCTTCTAATGAGAAATTAATCTTTTTCGGTTCTACACTTACATTTTTACTGTCACTGATATCTCTGTTGGGATAGAGCGAGCAGTTATCCGGTATGTTTTGAGGAGAGTGTCTTTCATTATCTGCAAATCTTTCTGCCTTTCCAAACACTGTGGTTTCGTTAGTATTTCTTTTGTATTCACCTTCTCTATTTTGTGTGGATGTTAAGTGTATCGGAAGAGAATCGGCGCGTGGTGTAAAATTCGGAGCGTCGAAATGTTCCCCAGAGTCGAGGTTTAACAAACTCATATTAGGTCGCTGCAAGTCCAGCGGCAACGTCCTGTTCAGTTGGCTCTTATCTCTGGTTGCTGTTACATACGGTGCACCGGCCAAGCTAATGTTTTGTCCTTTTAATTCAGCGCGGCGCATTTGAAGGTCTTGTTCGTCGAACTCAGAGATTGAGACAATATCGCTAAGAGTCCTGCCCGATACTTTTCCATCTGCAGGCTCGCTTTTTTGGTTTTGATCATCGTCTTCTAGTTTGAGAGCTGTGAATGAATGAACCATATCTAAATTTAAAACGACAGCTCAGTCTGGCCAGACTGTCTTAATTTATTACTAACTACTTACATAACAACTAGAATTTGGAGGGCGTCCAAACGATTGTGATAAATGTATGATAATTTTTCAGATGACGGCACTTTTAAAATAAGAATGAATTCAATAAAGCAAAGAAAAGTTAACCACAGGTTAACTACTTATTGATTATTGAACCAATCAAACTGTACTTTTTTAGTTACTTTTGTAAGAAATAAACAATTAGGAATGTAAAGAATTTTGAAGTCTGAAAAGCACAACAATCATAAACATAAATGGAAGAGAAGTATTTATTATTTAATATAATTTAATCACCGGTGAATCGACTACAATAATTGAATTATTTACTTAATTACAGCAAGTAAAATATTTACATAGAATTAAAATACTTAAATCAACACAGTATAACATTATTATTCATTTTTAATTTATTATATTTTTTTTGTAGTATTTATTGTGTAGACAGACGGAATCTGAATCAGGAGAGGTTCAACAGTATCTTTTTGATAACAGTTAAATAAAAAACTGCTGTTAGCCAGCTGCTCGCCAAGCGTGAGGACTATAGCAACCATGAGGGCAAATGGAAATATACCCTAAGAGGCAATCTATGGGGAGGCCTATACTCAGCAACTAAAGTTTTGGGTATACAGCACCTATGGTCAGGGGGTTTATCTAAGATGGTTATGGATTTATTTGAATTCTAAGGTGTATATTCTTTTCCATATGAGTAAAGTAGTGGACTAAATGTATTTATGTGCAAAAACTAAAACATTTTCCTAAGAAATACAATGCGTTTTTCAGGCGTTATCAACACAACACATTTAGTGAAGCCTGCCGAGTAGATCTTTAGTATAAAAGCAACAATAGAGGTCCGTTTTTGCAATTCCAGCCAAGTGAATACACAACATTATCCTGTTAGTGAAATTTAACGGACAAAGCGTTTGGCTCGCTCTATTGCAATGAAATGTAGTTTGCGTTCATTTAAAGTGCTAGAATGATAATTTATTGTATCCGTATAAAAGTAAACTGAGTTAGCTGACTTTCTACAATCGTTATACTAATAAAACTATTAAAATAAATTGGTATGACATATTTGGTTACATGACCTTACAGTTATTCGAATGTAAACCCAACATTAACAGTATTGACGTTAGAGGTATATATTCTCTTATTTTATAGAATCAGGGTGACAAACGAGCATACAGTCCACCTGATGGTAAGTGAGTATTGTGGCTTATAGAGATCTACTTTTATCATCGATTAAGAATCAATATGCATATAAGTTCACTCCTGAGGACTAAGATGAAATGCTTCGAATCTATAGTAACACAGCAGCATTGAGTTGCTATTTTACGTTGGTATTCTGAGTTGGGTTGGAGACAAACTATTTGTGCTGCAACTATAGTACAGCCGCAGCATGGCTCTACCATGTCCACTGCTGAACATGGATCACCCATATTAAGAAGAATTTGCTGGCAATCCTCATTGCCAGGCTGATTGGTGACTGCAGACGATTCGCACGTTTGACACTTTCCTGGTAACAATCTGGGAATTTTACGATATGATAATAGAAGATCGGATATTGATCGGAAGGTAAATATTTCTTTGGGTTTTTTTTATGGTTTTCCTCTTACAAGACCAACGGAATGAGATAAAGATTTAATATTATATTATTCTTTATCATTTATTGTTTTTTTTTTTACAAATATTAAACAGTAATATGCAGAATTTGCGTATAGGTTAAAAGTAGTAAGCCAAATATTTTTTTGAACTTAGCCTTCACTAAATATTGTTTCGAAAGAATAATCATTTGAAAAAAAAATACTGGTACTGATTGAAGGAAAATTTGGTTGAATTAAATAGCAGAACGTGTACATCATGTAGTGGCGGCCTAGGAATAACCAATACCCTTTTACAAAACCCCAGTGTTTTATATGGAGTAATGGATATTTCCTGTTTAAAACGAATATATTGCGTGAAATGAGTAAATTTGCTACCGCTGACCATTATTACTGTAATGTTGGATAAGTTTCGATGCAAAGAGAGGTGTGTCACTTTTGTTATGACTTTAGTTTTACTGCTATTAATTATAAACTTATTCTAATATATAATCATATTGTGTGGACTGCACTACATTGCATTATATTATAAAATAAATATATACTCCTACGTTGTTTCCGTTAAAACCTGTGAAAAGTGTCTCCTACAGATTACACATAGGGGAGATATTTGTCATAGTTGCCACGTTTGGCGAACATCACTTCAGCACTTCACTTCAAACGGTACTCCTTACGACATATACGAGATGAAATGAGGTAGTGGATATTCTTTCACCGCTACTACACAGTGAATTTCCTACGTTGTTAAATATATACATATAATAAATGCATGTGTGTGCATGTGCGTACGTGTGCGTGTACGTGCGTTTGCGTGGGTGTACGTGTGTAGGTGTATGTGTGTGTGCATGCGAACTGACCCATGAGGTCTTGCAGCTGTCGGTCGCGCTGCTGCAGCGCGGCGCGTAGCTGCTTGTTGTCCGCGGCGAGCGCCTCCAACTGCGTCTGCAGCTGTGCACAGCGCTGCTGAGCGCTGATAAGCGACCGCTCAACAACCTTCACTTTCTCCTCCACACGACCTGAACACCAACGTGCAATCTACATCCCCGTACTCCAAAAGTGTTTTTAAAGTAGAAAACTTTTTAGGAAAGTTTGATAAATAGTTAGGGAAAATAATGGTGACCTTTTTACCATGTTTCCAGTACTGAGTTACATTTAAAGTTTCAAGTCCTTACTAATCTGAAACTTAGTTTTAAATCAATTACAAAATGTATAACAAACAAATAAATAAAGGTGTATAATAGTTATAACTAAAATTTGCGATTGCAAGTGCGCTTGCCAAACATGGCAATTACAGCAAACATCACCTTATGATGCAATCTACAAGGAAGGCCAACGTTCAGCAGTGAACTTTTTTTTAATTCTTCTAAAAGATTTTTTAAAATACTTAACAAATATGCACTTACTTGCATCACCATGAGCATCAAGTTGCAGTTCCTCCGATTTGCTCTTCTCTTCCAAGTTCTGTTTCAGCCTCGCCAACTGTTTGTCTTTTGATTCCAATTCTTCTTTTAACCTTTGTACCTTTAGAAAAATAATTTTGGTTTACTCTACAGAATTACACTTTTATGCTGAGGGAAAAAAGTGGTGTAAATGGGTGAACGATCTATAAACATTTTTAATAACTTTTAACTTGAAACTGCTGATAGATAAAAACTTTACTTGAAATTGGTAGCTATATTAATAAATATTAAAAGATTAATTTGATACAAATATACTACTATTTTATAAGTTTAGGCCATGAAAGTGCTTCGTATTCTTTGATCACTAATAAAGAACGAGTTAAAGAAGTAATTCATTATTAATGATCGAAGTTCGGATATGAGAATTTTAAACAATTTGTCATTGCATTAAGTTTTGACATATTTAAAGACTGATTTTAACATGTTTAATATAATGGCATTTCGCAAAGTACCATCTGATTCTATTAATTATATTAGACATTTATTTCTTCTTTGTACTTTGTCACATCTGGAGTAATTTTTAAGTAGGATTTGTATTTGCTCGTTGTCATAAGTATTGTTGGTCCATTTTCATAGTAGTTCCAATTGAAATCAAGAATAATCTGTTAATGCACAAATATCTGCTCTGGCTGTAAACCGAATTCAACACTAACTGATTATGATTATGATGATTTAGAATTCATAAAGTAAATTAACTATTTCAAATAATCGTCAAGTATCGTTGAGCAAGTAATGCCAGTTTGTATACATTTCCATTTAATTAACTAACTTTAGATACTGTTTTATAATTTTTATTTATATAATAAATATTGTACAAGCCGATAGCAAAGAAGAAAGGGCACAGTAACATATTATGATAACACACAACAATGTTATCCGGGAGTGATTGTACTGTAGTTTAAATATGTCATACAGTTTGTGTAGTGTGCACTGACCTCCGCGGTGGCGTCATGCAGCTGCACGCCGAGGTCGCTGGCGGCAGCGTGCGCGAGTGCGTCCGCGGCGTGGCGCTGGCGCGCGAGCTGCGCCGACAGCGACGACACGCGCAGCGCCTGCTCCGACATGCGAGCCTGCACCACGTCGCGCTCCAGACGCACCTCCTGAACACGCCGTATTCATTCATTTTTATAACATAACGATGACAAACGAGCCCACACTCGACCTGATAGTAAGTGGATGCTGTGGCCCATATATCCATTTCAAAGCACGATTTAATCGGCTCGACCGGGGTAAAATAGCAGCTTGATGCTGCTATGTTTCGTATGACCAGTGTAAAGAACCGAAGACCCTTTGGTGACAACGTATCTCCATTTTGATTCATTACCATCAATTTTTTTGCCATTTTTTATTTACCATCAAGTAGATTGTGTGCTTGCTTTTTACCTTTATTTTATAAATAAAAAAGACATTTCTTAAAAAAAAACACCATAAAGCTGTGATATGTACTAAACCGGAGACCCTTTTAGAGCTAGAAACGGGTTACATCTTAATTCTCAGTAATTTTCAGTCTAAATCTAAATATCCGTTATATGTTGTAAGCCGTGGAGACATATTGGTAGTTCTGGTAAGTTGTCGGAGTGCATAGGAAAATCTATTAAGTTTCGAACATAATATGTTTTTTTTTTGGGAAATTTGCGACTAGAGGTAGTCCTTAATATAAACAAGGAAAAAAAGGACCAAGAACACTTCCCTGGGGAAGTGTTCTTGGTCTTTCCTCCACAGCTCACAGTTCTAGATTCTGAATATATAGGGGTTCCATATTTGTTTTTTTATCTTTTCTTTTTATTACAGTAATTTATTTTCTATTAACTTAGTAAGATCTTATTAAATTTTAAGTGTTTCCTCTCACTCCATACGAGTACAGCTTATCTAAAAGAGCTTCGTGTCTTACATGGTCAAAAACTTTTGTTAAATCCATAAAAAGAGCAACGCACGGGTATTTATTGTTTACATTTGTCATTACTTTAATAATAAAATCATATAATATTGTCTTCTAAGTTGTCTTATTTTTCTGAACCCGTATTGTTCTTTTGTCAAAATATTATTTTGTTCAAAGCTTTATATATTACCCTCTCAATTTTTTTTTAAATAATGGGCTAAAGGTTTATAGGACGATAATCGTTCATAATTTATTGGCAGTCTTTTACGAACTGAGGTTGATAAAGGTATTTTTTAATTTATCAGGAAAAACGCCGCTACTAATATACATGCTGATAATGTTAGCTTATAGGTTTAGATCTTGCGTGACTTACGTCTTTTATCACATTCATTATAAAGCTATCAATACCTGCATATTTAATCTTTTAACGTAATTACAATTTTAAATATGTCTTATGGAATAGTAGTAGGATTCATGAATATCGAACCTTGATATATCGAATTAGGATTATTAAATGTCAATCTAAATGATTTAGTCAACATATTTTGTGGTGATACAATGTAAATGAAATGATTATTAAAGGCGTTAGCTATTTCAGAAAGATCAGTAAATATATTTCCCTTATCATTTATTTTTGAAATAATATCATTGGAATAGTTCGCCTTAGGTTTTGAATTTTTTATAATACTTTATGTAGCTTTGGATTTACTAGAGTATGATGTAATATAGTAACTATTTTGTGCTTTGCGTGTTAAATTAATAATTGTTTTGTATCTCTTAGCATAAGTTAAAAATATATTTTTAATTTTAATAGTGGGAACTTTTCTGTATTTCCATAGTAACTCACACTCTCGCTTGCTACACATTTTAAGACCACGTGTAATACTTTTAGTCTTCTTTAGAGTGGAAGTTCTTTCTGTTTGGTGATAAGTAATAACGCATAATTAACATTTTCACTATCAGATACATATGCAACACCATCCACTTGTCATAAAGTGCTCGTTTGTCACTCTTTCTTCCATAAAAATAACTCATGTGGGTTCTTCTTACAGGTTCATGTGAACCTGACGGAATTAACTGCTTAGTAAGATGCTGATGAACTCCTGTCTGATGGAACACTTTGATCTACTTTCTTAAAAGTATCCCTACCTAACTGCATTATCTTCTTAAGGTAGATATTTTCTTGGAATATTTCAGAAATCTCGTTCTAGATAGTAAGTGAAATTAGTATAGATTATTAATTGAACATAACTTTCGTTTTGTTGTATTCATAAACATTTGGACCAACATCCTCCATACGGTATTCAACATTTTATAAAGTTGAAAATGCTCTAACCATACATATCTTTTAATTGCCGTTGGTAAAAATAAAATAATTAGAACAATGGAGACGAACTTTATAATAAGCACAAAATCAAATTCAAGAATATCGAAATCATAAAAAACAAACGAATTGTTTTTTTACATTTCATTTACAGACTTGCGTTTTAAAATGCATAGAAATCAAATTTTAACGGAATTTTAAAAAATAACAAACATGTACAAGCTTGTCTAGTTGTACAGTATACAGTAACAAGTATAGTTAATACTGTTTGTACAGCAATGCTTTTTATAACACGTTCTGTTAATTCCTATATTTATAGCACAAACAACAAATACAATATTAAAGTGCAAACCTACCTTTTAAGAAAAACCAGTCATTATGTTTGATTAATAATACTCAAAATAAACTTCTAACAATTGTGTTTGATTCAACACTAAGGATATTGCCACCCGCTCGATCCAGATTTCACAAAACAAACAGTTAACTGCCGGCGCTAATTCTACTTCACGACTGTACGGCCGCGGTTTGACGAGTTAATTTTACCCATACGCCCTAGTTCACCTGTTACTCACGAGAATTACAAAGAGCAATAGGTCAGTTCAGTTTTGAAATATCAATGTCGTCGTAATCCGACGTGCACGATCGTACGTGGTAGAGCCACGCTGCAGCTGTATTATGGCTGTAGCACGAATGGGTTGACTCGACCGGGGAGGACTACGCTCTCACAGAATACGGCGTAAAATAGCAGCTTAGCTGTGTAAATGTCGCTTTGAAACGACAGTAGCCTAATGGCTGGGCGCGGACCGCGAACTCAAAAAGGTCGTGGGTTCGAATCCGCCATTCGACTACTGGTGTGAACCACTCGTAACACAAGCAATTTAAGCTTACCACGAGTGGTTAAGGGGAATATTAGTAATGTTTATAGCATTGTTAATATTCTTTAAAAAAATGCTACTGTGTTTCGTATCGTAAGTGTGGAGAACCGGCGACCAATATAACTAGAAACGACGTATTACATCTTAGTTCTAGATTTCTACAAGCCACAGCATCAGCTGAACTGTGCGTGCTCGTTTGTCACCCTTATCATCACAAATAATTTTTTTTTGTGTTGGTATTGTGCTGCTGGACCGATTTTGAAAAGACTTTCACTAGCAGATAGCGGATGTTATAAGGAGTAATTTAAGGTACTTTTATTTTAGAAAAAGAATTAGGGGTCCGCGGAAAAAATCCTAAATTACACGCGGGCTAAGTCGCGGGAAACAGTAGTTTTATTTAAAGAAAAACGTTGGGTTATTAAGCGATCACTAGTTAAAGAGCTGCGATGCTTATATTAAACTGGTGATTCCTGATAAAATAAACAACTTCTCTAACACAAGCGAAAGACAATAAGATCGTAATAGTAAAGTTATATGAGAACCAGGAAACATTATATGCGTGCATTAAGTGTGAGTTGTACCAGATTTGACCCAGTTTCAACGACAAACTAATTAGTATTATAGTTTTGACTTTGACTTCAGACTTGGTTCCGATTAAATTTTTAATGAAAATATAATCGATAATGAAAAACGGATGAGAAACATCATCTTGTATATAAAAAGCAAATATCTTAAATTTATCGTGCTTTGGTCGGACACTATCCAGTTTCGCGAAACACTGTGCTAATTTTACTAATGTTTGTTACTAGTGAAGACGCCTGACGTCAATAATGTAATAATTATTGTCGCCAAACCATACACATGTTTTTATAATTTACTTAAAATCCTGTCCACCCAAAGGTAGTCGGGAAGAAATCGCTTTTAGCAATATAACCCCTCATTGTACCATTGTTTCCCGTTTTTCCTTTTTTAGTTCCTGACACATGTCCAGCAGTGGACTTAACTGGCTGATAATGAAGACTAAGACGATATCACTAGTGAATCTCAACGGCTTTATAGGAAGTGGATCAGAGTTTTTTTTTTAACGGCACAGTGTCCACTACCCCATATCACCTCGTGGGTGTCGTAAGAGGTGACAGAGGGAAACAAATCAAGGAATGGGAAGCAGTGTATTCCTAATAACGACTAAAAATAACAAAACTGCGGTTGCCAACCGCTTGCCAAGCGTGGCAACTGTGGCAAATTTCCCCTCTATGAGGCAACCTATGGGTGAGGCAAATGTTCAGTAGTGTGCTTCAATAGACTGTCACAGAAACGATAACGGTAACGGTACGGTAAACCTTCTGGTTTAGGAATTTTTTACTGGCAGTTTTGAAGTCGAGGTTCCTAATTCGACTATTTTCATAAACCTCAAGCACAAGCAATTAAGTATAGTTGGAGTAGTTTGCGGGTCAGTAAGCTGAAATGGCAATGGGCCATATAGCTCGAAGTATCTACTATCTATATCTTTAGATTGGATGGATGGAGATGTTCGAGAGCCTTGTACCGACAAGGGAAGTGTTGGGCGGTATTACTAAAGGAGTGACGAACTGGTTAGAGACTTGACGTCAATGGATGAAGGTGGTTAAGACCGAGCTTTGTGGGGGAAGCCTATGTTTTGCAGCGGACTTGTAATTGTATGTAATGATCAATGATGATTATGAGCGGCTCATTTTTGGGTAGGTGTCCCCCTAAAATATTACTGGTTTTCCTTTAAATGAATTCAAGGCACATGTAAAAAGATATTTAACAGAAAAAGATTATTATATATTAGATGATTATTGAAATAATTAGAATAATTGGACATTTAGCTTTCATTTTTATTTTAAAATATTATATTCCATAAGATTAAATTGTGTACTTGTGAATTTCTTGCGCTTCTTTTCAAAAGGTCTACCGCAGTAGCATTGGAATCTCAAAAAATACCCTCTGAATGCTTTTTCAATGAAAAATTATTTGATCTTGACTTTGGACTTTGATGATAAGTGGTTAACGTGGATGGTTAAAGTAGTCATTTTTGAAGAAAAACTGTGTCCAATCGTGATATTCATAATAGCTTTTTATTTTAAAACGCTGCTCCTGGCAGCTCGCAGTGTTTTGATACAAAGAACAAATCAAGAAACGTTGGCGCACAAACAAGTCTCCGATGATGTCGCCGCGTTAAACATCACCCTGCCAATTGACCGGCGCTGATTGACGTTCAATTGAGAGTACTCAATGCAAATGCAGTAACATAAAGGCTAAGTGAAAAAAACCGCTAAATTATTAATCTGTATCGGTCACAATATGATGATTTAAGTCTTTAGTTTTAGTTTGGAAAATAGATCATGTGTCATTACGGCACAACAAAAATGCGTATTTGTACACGAAATATAATTTAATTAGTCAAACTAAAAAAAGAACATATTTTGATATTAAGACTAATATACGTAACCTGATTTTTTTAAATTTAATAAGGGTAACAAGTGTGCACACAATCCACCTGATGAAATGTGAATGCTGTGGTTCATGGGCATCTACATTTATCAATGATTAAGAATTAAAATGTGCAAATGTGTTTACCTTGTGTGTGGTCACCTCTGAAGATATATTTAGTATACTATGACAGCGTGGCCCAACCGCAGTAGAGCCGACCCATTCGTGCTACAATCACAATATAGCTGTAGCATGACTCTAGCACGTATAAAACAAGTGGTAAAATTAAAAAAATTGTACAACCGACTTCAATATAAATAAAATGAGAACATTATCGATGTAGTCGAAGTCAATTAGATACTCAATATTGAGGATAACTCAAAAACTACTCGTAAGATCTTAATAAATTTATATGGGACCACATGAGAATAAAAATTTCATTGGGTAACACATTAATACGTCAATTAATATCTTCTCCTTTTTTGAAGTCGAGTAATAACATTCGTCTCAATTTGATACTTTAAAGTCTTTGGTCAATAATAAGGTAGATCAACAAAACAGAGCGTATATGTACAGGAAAAATAATTTACTTAGTCAAACTAAAAATATTATTTATGATTATGAATGTTCATTATATAAAGTGATTTAATATAATTTTATGATCAAATCAGAATATGCAAGTAATATTTTCTTACAGATTTTATCGCATTTAGTTTTAATTTTTTAATACTGCGTAGACCGTTCTGCGTAGATCGGACCAAAAAATTTAAAATAATAAGTTGAATGTAGCCTTCGTTAAATATGAAAAACACCACAGCCCCCCCGCCCCCGCCCGTGACCATAGGTGCTGTAAAGTGCCCGATACGTCGGGAATTAAAAAAGTTATAATCAAATGCGATATAATCCATAAAATAGATTAATCCATGTGTAGTATATCCTAAATGTCAAAAATCATAATATTTTCTTATTACCTGAAAAAAACCTTACCGTTAGATCCGGCAGGCCCATTGCAATGCACTTCCTAAAGAACACAAACATCACCCACCCATCAAACTTCCACACAAACGTTTTACTAACTACACTACACTACACTAAGGACTACATTTCGAAATGGCTTCAGGCTACATGGCGAAATGGGTAGCGTGATTTTGTAACATTTGAAATGCAGTAATGATGCGAAATGAGGGACAGTGGGATGCAAAGTGATTTGCAGAGACCTTGCGGCAGCAAAACACGCTCTGGAGCATCGGGAGAGACTGAGGCCGCGCGGGAACACGGCCGGCGGTAGGACGCGCGATGTGAGTCTCGTCAGCAGATTGGATATGGCATCACAGCAACGACATATAATTTGTGTGTTTGAGTATTTTATATTGTTCAATTAAATAATTGCACATTAACTTGTATGTATTATTTTTTGTATTCGTGCCCAAGAGTAAAAGTATTTTCATTATGAGTAAATTCATTCCAATTAAAAGATATTTTAATTGGAGTATAAAACTATGATAAAAGTTTAAATAAGTTGTATAGTTAATTTATTATATATATACAATATGTAACGTAATTAACGCACACCCTCAGATAACCCAATTAGTATATTATGTTATAATCATAATATATACACAGAATTTTTAGTTAAACATTTTTATGCACTGATTATTTATCAAATTAGTTATACTAATTCCGGAAGAATGTTGTGGTCACAGTACAAATCCACGAACGTAAAGACTTTAACGTGCTTGAAATAAAGTTCATTTTTCTTTATTTTTATTGAATGACAGAATTAGTAATAATACAGATAAAACTGCACTCTTAAAAGTCTTATTGCCTTTAGTTACGGTCCATTTCAGTTTGTTTTGACTGTACAGATTTAGTGTGATTGTAATTTACGTAGTTTTCATTATTTTTGTGATAAAAATTACCTATATTAAAAATGATAGGAATCGATTCAGTAAACGATTCTGAACAAACTACTTTCTCAAAGTGCGTTAATTATGTTACGTGTTGTACATATACACATATATATATTAGTATAATGTAATATTACGTAGTTAATTAGTATTTTTATTATGTTTTTATTCTATATAGCCACACTTACGTCAAATTCGTATTCAACATAATTATTTACGTGGCAGAGCCACGCTGCAGCTATATTAATGGGGTAGGACCGCGCTCTCACAGAATACCAGCATAAAATAGGAGCTTAATGCTGTCGTTTCGTATGGTGAGTGTAGAGAACCGAAGACACATGTTACAGGAAACGAGGCATTCAATCTAGGACCTCACGGGTGACAACGCATCTGCATTTTGATTCGTAATCGAGGATAGTTGTAGATGTCTACGGGCCGCAGCAACTACTTATCAACATAGGTAGACTATGTGCTCGTTTGTCACCCTTATCCTATAAAAAAATTTATCACCACTCCATGGGTTGACTGGTAGAGAATGCCTCAAGGCATTAAGTCCGCCGTTTGTACTCTTTTATTTTAAGGAATGCAATTAAACATAAAAAATGTACACGGGAAGAGAGAATATCATTAAGAACAATATTTATTAGTTTATTAAAATTCCCTCAGCATTGAGCTGCTATTTTACGCTAGTGTTCTGTGAGAGCGTAGCCGGTCCTTTCGTACTACAACCATAATAATATACTTAACGTGTTGTGTTATAGATTAAAGAATTTGAATAACAACAAATAACGAAATTGTGTATTATGCCGTATCCGTGAATTTCCACTTCAGTGGTACTAAATTAAGCGCGTACGCGGATACGCAGGGCTGCCTCGCATACAACTCGTGAGCTTGTTGTTGTGAGAGTTGCTGTTAATTACCAACGAATTGGGTTACATGGAGGTTATAGGAGTTTTATGGTCGGTTTATAGTGTTTGTTTTTACAGTTCCCGGTGTTGCGAGAGTGAAATGCATGTGCCGTTAATACTATGGTATGTACCTCATATTACGAGTACTAAAGGCACATGCAGTTCTCCACCGTACATCCAAGAAAATATGAGAGGATATACAGATATGAGTGATTGCGGTCCAAGACTAACAACTTAAAAACACTTCATTTCTGTAACAGTTGAGATGATTATCCTGTCAGCTAAGATCGTTATCACAGCACTAAGCTGATTTTCCGCCATAAAACGTAAAACGAAAAACAAAAACTAATAAACTTCGTGCGATAAATTTCTCGCAGATTTCTTTAAAAAAAAAAGAAAAAATTCTCGGAGATGCAAACCCTGAAAACAGTACCAATAAACGTAAATAATAGGAAAGTGCCCCGAGTTCAGTGAGCAATGAGTTGGTTAAATAGTGTCGAGACGACCTCAGACCTTGCACGGGATAACGATGACTCACTCATCTCATGAAACTAGGGACAAGGGGGACCGTCCATGGTTATCAACACACCGCCCTTTTATTCAAGATCCGGTTGAATGAACTATTCGTTTGACATCTGTGGTTTATTTTGTATTTTCAGCCAGCTATAACACAACAACATTGAGCTGCTAATTTATCTACAATTATTTATCAAAAGATAAATAATTGTCTTTTGAAAAAGAGAAATCTGACTTGAAATAACGAAAATAAATTAATAGTAAAAGATTTTTTTTAAAGAAGTTTTTATTTAAATGCTCAAAAAGAACTTTAAATTAAATCAGACCCATCAATTTATTACATTACACAATTTATATGATATAAAAGTTTGTCGAGAGATTTACCAATTTTATAAAAAAAAAACATTTTTTGTTAGAATTACCTACCTATGTGAATATCAAGTTACATATTGTATTCTTGTTTATGTACCTACATAGTTATATCTCGCGACTTTTTTATCATATAAATTGTGTAATGTATAAATTGATGGGTATGATTAAATTAAAGTTTATTTTCTTCTTTTTAGAGCATTTAAATAAAAGCTAGTTTTTCGAAATGTTTTTTATTCTTAAGTAATTTTTAATTTTTTTGGTATCCGGGACATGTTCTTAAGTCAGTTTGTTTCATTTAATGCATCATTATTTATTAGTTTTTGATCGCCATCTTAGATCCACCGTTTTGATTTTTATCGCCAGTATTTGAACCTTGTCAGACTTGTCAAACTTGACGGATAGAAACTCTCCCTAACCTTTGCCAAGTTATAAGTCTTTAAAGTTGGTATGGCAACCATCTTGTTTTCCGCCATTTTAATTTTTTACCACCTTTAGAATTTGCCCAGGGTGTGGGCCCACATTAGTTAAGACACGACCTCGCTGTCTTACCGTGAAGCCAGGCTGTAGCACAATATCTCGAAGAGCTGATTGCGGACATTATTCGTATTATTTGTAGCAAACAAAACAATGGGTTCATCTAGTTTTCATTTGAATCCATATGGTTTATTTGATATCCATGTCATGGGAGTGAATAAAAAACATAGTCCGCCATCTTTGGGAGTCTACCATATTGGATTTAGAGCGACGTCATTTTATTTTTCGTATTCTTCCCAGAAAATCCTTTCATATAATACACATATTATGAGAGTGTATAACATATATAAAAACTTAACAAAATACTCTAAAAATATATGTACATGGATTGCAGCAACAAAAGACCGCTAATAACAGAATAAATGAAAATTAACAGAATAATGCTAGTAACAGAACCAGCTACAACCCCATTGGTGCAGTGGTCGTAAACGCAAATGATGTTCAAGAGGTCTTTGGTTTCGTAGGTAAAGCCGGTCGTGTCGCATAACCTTTAAATCGGACCATGAAATGAGGGAATAGAGAGTGCACCTGTGCTTGCCCAATCCTGTCCTGCACAGATGGCAAGTCCGCATTGAGAGTGGCCGCCGTGACCGTATTTAGGTCTAGAGGACATTATTATTACAGTAGCAGAGTTATCACCGCAGCAAAGATATTCTTTCGAAGCCTCATAATATGTCGAATCGCTAATACGAAAGACTAAAAGTATAAACCGCTCATTGACCGTAAACCGAAAATATCTTAGCTAAAATTGATCAAAAAGTTTACCGAACTTTTTCAAGCCGGTTTACATGTAAATCCCTCGAACTTGTAATGTAAACAAATCTAATGAATTTTTTCAGCAACAGAGGTCAACGTGCGGACAATTTCATTTCACTGTACAAGTTTCAAGCACAATTGGTTCATTGCGTTTTAAATATGCGTAGGTGTCAAGCGTAGATAGACAGAACTCATATGTGCTAGTTAGAAAGTGAACTAAACGGAAGCAATCTAAAATGATTTTTATAAAATAAGACTGACAAACGAGCACACAGTCCACCTGACGGTATGTTGATGATGTGGCTCATAGACATCTACTGCAAAATAAGGCCTCGTTTCCAGTAAAAAGGATCTCCACTTAACACTCACCTTACTAAACACAATAGCATTAAGCTGGTATTTTACGCTGACATTCCTATGAGAGCGTGGTCCATTCGTGTTACAAATATGAAGAGCTACAGCATGTCTCCACCACTTAAAATACAATGGTATTGTAGTGTAGTGTGGCCGCCACGAGAATGTAGGTATATTAGTGTTAAGTGAAGAATAAAAGTATTCCATTTAAAGTCGTAGCAAGAGAAACACGTCTCTCATTAACACTTTCCAACATTACATTATGGTAATCACGAAACGATGCCGAACATTGGCCTGGTAAAAAGTAAAGCGCGGTGAACTCATGAGCCACCTACACCAATTTGTTTTAAACGCATCTCAACCGGATGTCATTTTATATAATGTGGGTTCGTCCCACATTGATCTTGCAGGGCCGTCGCCACTATTTGAAAATCATCAATAATGGTCGTTTTGACGCTCTGCCTGCCCCCACCCCCGCCCCCCTACTATCAATATAACACGCATTCAAATGAAATGTATTGTATTGTCTCTATCACTAACCATCATGGGATAGTAGGAAAGCACTGAATTACAATTTAAAAAAAAAACCCGCAGCCAAGTGTCACCTTAGCATTACTTATAAATTGAGCTAAGTATATCTGTTATTAGGCTATCTTGTCCGTAACGTCCTCCATGCAGAATATAGCTTAGG